GGAGTTGATGCTTTGCATGTGGGAGAGCTGGTTCCATCTCTGACACAGCCTGGTCCCCTCAGCACCAAGCTGGGAATCAGCCCTGAATTCCACTGGGTGTGACCCTGAAAAACACACAAATAAAAATACAAAGCCCAAACCAAAGAGATCAGCTGTCTTTGGGACCTTGACAGCTGGTGTTCCCTCACTTATTCAAGGGTGTGGTAAGGTGAAACTTCATGCCCCAGAGGGTGGCAGCTCTGACTCCGTTGGTCAGTCCTCATGCAGGGTCTGCCAGGGCTGGAGACTATTTTTAAACCAGCCTTGCTGGACTAGCAGAACCTTAAATGTCATTCCTTTTAAAGTGTGTTGGAGTCTCCTATCCTCTACACCATCCTGGGCAGACAGGTGAGTAGGTAAGACTTGAAACTCATACAGCTGTGCAAAAAGAGCTGACCTCCTCCTACCTGTGGGCAAGGAAACTGAGGCTCAGAGATACCGTGGGACTAGCTGAGTACAGAGAGGAAGTGACAGGACCAAAATGGAAAACTTTCTGTGTCTCTACCTCCTGTGTATCTCTTATACTGTCACGCTAAGAATAGCAGCAGCTAAAGTAACCCAACTGGGGCTGGAGAGATAGTGCGGTGGGTAGCACACTTGTCTTGTATATGACTGATCTGGGTTCGATCCCTGGTATTCCATATGATCCCCCGGGGTACTGCTAGGAGTAATGTAGTGCAGAGCTAGGAGTCACCTGTGAGCATCACCAGGTATGCCACAAAAACCAAAACCAAAACCAACAAACAACTCCTCCCCCCCAAAAAAAAAACCAAAACAAAAATAACCTAACTATTATTGATTGAAAACCTATTCTCTGACAGACAGAGAATGCTTTGCAAGTATTCAGCATTAGTACCCTGGAAGGTAGGATGTATTTTTTTCCCATTATAAAGATGGAGAAATAGTGGAAAGGTGGTACAGGGGTTAAGGTGCTTGCCCTTGCATGTACACAGCTGACCCTGGTTAGATCCCTGGTATTGCATATGTTCCCTTGAGTACCACCTGGAGTGATTCGTGAGTACAGAGGCAGTAGTAAGCCCTGAGCACTGCTATGTATGGCTCAAGCCTTCCCCCTCCACCAAAAAAGAAAACAAAACAAAACACCCAAACTGGGGGAAGACAAGGAGCTTGTGTGTATTCCCAGAGGAGGAAAGTAAAAGTAAATCTAAGCCCCACTTTATCCCAGAGCCCACACGCAGCATTCTTTCTCCAGGCTAAGCAGCCTCAGACCTGTTGATATAGTCTTCAAACACATTCCACCCATGACCTGGTGTATGTCAGGTACTACTCAAGATGCTGTGATTCGCCTAGCGAACCAGAAAGAAGAGGGAGGCCAGCGACTAATATTCAATGGATTGATCGTGTCCTTTCAGGCAGGGCCAACCAAGCAACCATCCACTGAACAGCTAAGAAACAGCTTGATCATAGAGGACAGTCATCTATTCAGCCAAGATAGGGGGCCAGGGCATTTATTTGCTTATTTACTTATTTATTTAGTCTTTTGGGGTCACATCTTGCAGTGCTCAGGAATTACTCCTGGCAGTGCTTGGGGGAACACATAAGATGCTGTGGATCGATTTCGAGTCAGTTGCGTGCAAGGCAAACATTCTACCTGCTGTACTATCGCTCTGGCCCCAGGGCCAATACTTTCAGTCACCAGCGTTCACCTGGCACGGTGATGCACACTGGGATACTGTATTGAGCAGACTGACGCATCCCCTTTCCCTGCCATACCACGTCCTTTCCCAGTGCGTGCTCCTGTTTGGTCTCCACTCCTAGTGTTTCCTGTGGAATCTCATCCTGGATCTCTGGGGTCAGAGCCGGGTCTTGGCTTCTCTTGGCAGAAACAAAAGTCCCTGGAGGTCAGGGTCTTGTTTGCGGGGAGGGGGTCCCACGTGTGGGTCTGCCTGTCTCGCTTCCCACTGGGCCCATGTATCACTGCTTGTCCGGCTCCTGGGACAGGGGCTTATTGGTGAGGATGTGGCCTTCAGCTGGGCTTCTCCTTGGAGATGGGCCATCTCTATCTCCAGGAGATGGGCCACAGTGCCCTGAAAGTACCCTCAGTTCTCTGAGGCGCAGCCATTGGGCAATCTCACCCTGCCTGGTTGGGTGACTCAGGCAGAAATCAGAGCAGGGAGGAGGCCTCAGAGCTGGGCTATTTATAGCCACGTTCTGGGTCCCCAGGACCCCACCCCCACCCTGGGACAGGCCGACTGGTTAGTGAAATCCAAGTCCTGTTTCAGGCACCAGCTGGCATGCCGTCCGTTTATAGCATGTTCCTGCGGGAGGAGAACCAGGAGAGGGTGGGCCAGGCGCTAGGAAGGCCTGGGGGGGGGGGGGGCAGGGCCCTGAGCACTTTCTCTGGTCTCCAGGGTGGCAGCTGTTCATTTGCTGAGTCTGCATATGCATATGCCCTAGTCTGGTTGAGTCCCATGAGTCCCTGCCCTCATGTGCTTCCAGCCTGGTGGGGGGCACAGATCCCTACACTGACACCCCGGGGGAAGTAGGGTGTCAGGGTCAGCGGAGAAGGGGGGTCCTGACTTGGCCCTTGAGAAAGCCTCACTGAGGCTGGTGTCTGAGCTGAGCTGGGACTTCCTGGACTGTGGCATCTTCTCCCACCTGGGAGAGGCTGTGTGGTAATACCTGGCAGTACTTGGAGTGGGGGTCGGTCATTTTAGGCAGGGAGTAGGGGATCAGGGGGCAGTGCTCAGGGGTTCAGATAGTTTCAGGGTCCCACACAGAGTTGACTTTATGCAAGGCAAGTGCCTTCACCCCTATACTATCTCTCCAGCATCAATGTCTTATTACCCATCAGTCTTAATTCACCCAATTACCAATCACTCTGATTGATAGTAGGTACCTTAGAACTCTACCTGACTAGTTATATTGTCTATGGGTAAGAGATAAAGAAGTAGCAGCACAGCGTCATGTATTTATAATTCCAGGACAAGGGTCAAATCCCAAACCTGGTACATCAATCTAACTTGTCTCTGAATTTCTCTACCCCTGCCAACCGCTTTCAGGATTGGCTGTCATCAGAGTGCCTTTCACTTACCATCACCATTGTTAGTGAGAGTTTCCTTTTCAAAAAAATTAATTTTTCCTCCAGCAGTGCTTAGAACTTAGTCCTGGTTCATGCTCAGGGATCACTCCTGGCAGGGCTCAGGGGACCATTTGTTGTGCTGGGGATAAAACCCAGGTCATATGTATGTAAGGCAAATACCTGTTGTACTATCTCTGCAGCCCTGAGATCTTCTTTTTCTTTTTTTTTTTGCACACAATCCCTATGCAACCTGGCATTGCACAGGAGTTACTCCTGGCTCATGCATTCAGGAAATACTCCTGGTGGTACTCGGGGGACCATTTGGGATGCTGGGAATCGAACCCAGGTTGGCTGTGTACAAGGCAAACGCCCTACCCGCTGTGCTATTGCTCCAGCCCTGAGATTTTCTTTTTTAAGAAATACATTGACTTCAGTCCACAATCAAGACTTTTGTTTTTTAAGCGTTTGCCTTGCATGTGGCCGACACGGTGGACCCGAGTTCGATTCCTCCGCCCCTCTCGGAGAGCCTGGCAAGCTACCGAGAATATATCACCCACATGGCAAAGCCTGGCAAGCTACCCGTGACGTATTTGATATGCCAAACACAGTAACAATTGTCACAGTGGAAACGTTACTGGGCCCGCTCAAGCAAATCGATAAACAACAGGAGGACAGTGACAGTGATAGTGTGGAATATAAAGTAGCATAATATGAGACTAACACCTAAGGACAGTAGAGATAAGGGCCAGGAGGAAAATGCCGTGTTTTGGAAGCGGGCCCCACGTGTTGGGGGAAAAGTCAGTTGGGATGTAGAAGGGACCACTAAGTAAATGATGATTGGAGGGATTGCCTGGGATGGGTGATGTGTGTTGAAATTAGATCAAGGACCAAACACGATGGCCTCTTAGTATCTGTATTGCAAATCATAACACACAAAATTAGAGAGAAAGAAGGATTGTACCTGTCACAGGGAGTGGATAGGGTGGGGGTGGCAGGAGGGACACTGGGAACAGTGGTGGTGGAAAATGTGCACTGGTGGAGGGATGGGTGCTCGAGCATTATATGACTGAAATGTAATCATGAAATTTTGTAATTATTTCACAGTGATCCAATAAAATTTATTAAAAACATAAAAATAGTCATCTGAAATTCCAAACACTTCTAATTACTTGTTTAGAGCTTAGTCACATGGCCACACCTAGTAAAGGGAGCTGGGAAATGTACTTTCCCCCATAGGTGGCATGTATCCATTTAACAAAATGCCCTGTCAGAAACTTTATTGGATTTTTTTTCGTGGGAAGAAGTAGGGTTACACATGACAGTGCTAAAGGCTACCCCTGGTTTTGTGCTCTGAGCGTACTCCTAGTGGTGGTCTGAGGACCATATGTGGTGCCAGACATCACACCAGGGTTGGTAGCATGCAAGGTAAATGCTTTACTTCTATAAGATCTCTCCAGAAGCTTTTCAGAGATAGTTTAAAGGAGGATAGTGATACTGGAAAAGAATTAAATTCTTTGCTTTTTTGGGGAGCTGGGCATACCTGGTGGTACTCAGGGCTTACTCCTGGTGGGGGTTGGAGGACTGTATGGGGTTCCAGGGATCAAACCTTGGTCAGCCATGTGTAAGGTAGGCATCTCACCTGCTGTACTATCTCTCAGGCTTCATTTTTTTTTTTTGTCACACCTGGAAATGCTTGGGGACTACTTCTGACTCTGTGCTTGGGGATGACTCCCAAGATGCACAAGCATTTTGTAGTGCTAGGGATCATACCCAGGCCTTCTACATGCAAAGTAAGTGCTCAGCCCTTTGAGCTCTCTCTGACCCCAAGTGGGAACTCTTAATGAATTAATGACAGTTGTTATGGGAGCCTCCTGGGAGCTCATATCACTGTGGTAACTGCTGCCCTATCTTCTGACAGTCAAGTACATGAAAGAGGTCTCACCCTATTTCAAGAACTCTGCTGGTGGAACGTCAGTTGGCTGGGACTCACCTCCTGCCTCACCCCTTCAGAAGCAGCCCTCCTCTCCTGGCCCCCCACCCCGGGACCTCAGTGAGGCCAAACATGTGCCCTTGAAGATGGCCTATGTCTCAAGGAGGTGCACCCTTACTGATCCAGAGCCCAGGTAAGTGAAATGATGACATCCTGGTATTAAGATGGTAGGGCCAAAGGACCCCAAGGACTTGTGTTGTGAGTCACAAGCACAAACGCAGTTATGTGCTTCTGTAATATTTGTTGCATGGATGCAAGAGTGAAGTTGTGGGATGATGGTATGCTTTGCTTCTCTCTTATTGCTGTGGCAGTTCACATTTGAGAAGGAACTTTGTAGTGGAACCCTGGATTTTACTCCCTATAAAAAACAGGCCCTAAAAGGTAAAGGCCCTCCCGTTGATCGTCGATTTGCTCGAGCGGGCCCAGTAACGTCTCCATTGGAGACTTTGTTGTTACTGTGTCTGGCATATCGAATAGGTCACGGGGAGCTTGCCAGGCTCTGCCATGCGGGCGAGATACTCTCGGTAGCTTGCCGGGCTCTCCGAGAGGGGCGGAGGAATCGAACTCGGGCCATGTTGGCCGCGTGTAAGGCGAACGCCCTACCCGCTGTGCTATCGCTCCAGCCCTATTACTCCCTATACTCCCTGAATTAGTGATCTCTTTCCCTTCCAATAACCTTCAGATTCTCCATTGTAAAATAAGGTTGTTAGGTCCTTCAAGTTTCTACCAACTGAGATTCTGAGATATATAGCAACATTTGTGTCAGGAACATCGAAACTTTTCATCATTCTCATATGAGTATTTCTTAATAATTCATTGATTATCAGATTGATATCAGCTAATGTTATTGAGTGCTGCTCATGCGCAGTTTCAATTAATTCTTGTAGCAGCCCTATGAGCAAAGTCCTATTATTTCACCCCATTTTATAGATGAGGACAGAGAGAGGAAGTAACCTGCCCAAGACCATACAACCAGGAAGGGATGGAACTTGCCTCATTCCAGGTAGCTCTCTCTGCATTAGAAGCTGCAGGTGCATAAGTGATGGTGGTGGTTGAATGGAGTGAATGTTGATCGGTGGGCTGGATGGCATTTGGGGTGGTGTATGTGTGGAATGGGTAGAAAAACCTTATTGTGGGCCCTAGTTATAAATTAGGTCCAATGCCAGACCCTCTGTGTTGACTGAAGGTGAGATGTTATGTGTTCTTCCTGAAATTCACAGATCTTTAGGTTTATCTTGCTCCCAGCCTGATCTCAGATATCCTCTGAACCATGTGTGTACATGTATGTATATATTGTTGATCACATGTAAATGCAAGTATTTATGTGTATGTGACAGCATTTCTCACATTTATACTTGTAGATTTGTGCCTATTTGTGTTGATTACTATGCATATATGCTGTATGTATATACATAGACTGCGTGCATGTATGACTTGAATATAACTGGTGTTATAAAGTAGCTGCATGTATGACTTGAATATAACTGGTGTTCCATATAAACACAGTATCCCAGTCAAAGATACATAATCCAAGATATAATAAATAATTAACTTTTACTCAATGTCAGGATTACTTTGAGTTACAAGTAATCCCAACATGCAATGAATGACAAATAAGTTAATTTTTCTCCGTGTTTAAAAAGAAATCCAGAGGTGAGCTAGTTTGGTTGCTATTCCTGTTCAAGCTTGCCCTCAGGCTTTTTTCTATGCCATCTTTATTGTGGATTTTCTTCTTGGAGGCAGGATGATGGCTACAGGCCAAAAACGTGTCCTTAATCCGGACAGGAGGAAGGCAGAAGGAAAATGAACTCTTCTCATGCTATTTTATTCTTTTGCGGCATTAGAAACCACTTAAAATTGAGTGACTTGGAAACTAACAGAATTTTTGTGGTTTTTGGTTCGCACCATGCCACAATAGGCCTTACTCTGGCTCTGCACTCAGGGATTTCTCCTATGCTCAGGGACCATATGGGATGCTGAGGATCAAACCTGGGTCAACCAAGTACAAGGCAAGTGCCTTACTACATTATCTCTCTGACCCCTAATAATTTGTTATCTCTCACAGTTCTGTAATATGGGCTGACCCAGCTGGTCAGTTCTGCTCTGTGTGAATTCTCCCGTTACAGGACATCGAGATGGCTGCTTTGCTCACTGCTGCCTCATCTGGGATGGTTCGAACAACTTGGGGCTGATTAAGCTTTCCTCTTTCCTCATAGCCTTTCCACATCCTAGCTTGTTCTTCACAGGGTCATTGGCTACAAGGTACAGTAACTGGATTACATGGCACGACGGCATATCAGTTCTACCATATTTTATTTGTCACAAAGTCCAAGAGAGGAGAAATAAACTTCACTTTTTGGTGAGAGAAGCGACTCTGTGTCTCTGGACAGGTGGAGACCATCTTCTAGAAAAGCTTTGTCTTTCTGGGGTGAGAGAAGTAGTACATTAAGTAAGGTGCTTGCCTCGCTTGTGGTTGACCCAGGTTCAATCCTCAGCTCCATATATGGTTCTCCAAGCACTTCCAGGAGGGATCCCTGAATACAGAGCCAGGAGTAAGCCTTGAGCACCTCCAGGTGTGGCCCAAGAACCAAAGGGGGGAAAAAGAAAGATCTGTCTTTCAGCTGGGAAAGAATACCCTCACTAAAGACCTCCATCTATATCTCATTGGTCAGAACTTGGTTTCATGATCAACCCTAACAGCATGAGAGTCTGGAAATTCAAGTATTTTGCTCTCTAGCTCTAGCACTAGAGGAAGACAAAGGAGAGAAGGGTTGGGATAAATGTTGTAAGAACCATCCTCCAGTTTCTACTCCTTCTCACCAATTATGGAAAAGTCAACATGGTATGCACCTTTTTTGTTTGTTTTTATTTGTTTTTGTTTTGGGTTTACACCAGGAGGTGTTCAGGGCTTACTCCTTAAGGGATGACTCCTGGCAGGGCTCAGAGTGCCAGAAGAGGTTCTGGGGAATCAAACCAGGGTTGGCCTTGTGCTAGGCAAGCATCTTACCTACTGTACTATCTCTTTAGCCCCTCAAATATGAATACACACACACACACACACACACACACACACATATATATATATATATAGGATTTTTGGGTCACACCCATCAATGCTCGAGGGCTACTCCTGGCTCTGCACTCAGGAATTCTTCTGGTGGACTAGGGGGACCATACAGAGTGCCAGGGATTGAGCCTAGGACAGCCACAAGCAAACGCCCTACCTGCTGTACTATCACTCTGGCTCCCTCAAATGTGAATATTTAAAGCCCCATAAAACAGGCACCCAAGAGAGAGTTCAGGAGGCTGGGGTGTGTGCATTGCATGTTTCTGGACTGGATTCCATCCCTGGAACCCCATAGTTCTTCCAGGCACCACTAGAAATGACCCCTTGATCTGTAGCACCATTTAGTAGAAACTAGACTCAGAGCATTACTGGTTTAATTACTGGCCTAAAAAAAAAAAGAAGTAATAAAGCCCCACAAAATATTAAAAATTTCCCTCTTGTCACTCTTGGTATTTCTTTAACAACTCTTCTCCACATTTGTCCATATTGCTTTTTTTCCCTTCCAAGTTCCTAATCCATTCCTCGTGTGTGTGTGGCGGGGAGGGCTATACTTGGCAGGGTTTGGGACTACTCGTGTGTGTGTGTGTGTGTGTGAGTGTGTGTGTGGCGGGGAGGGCTATACTTGGCAGGGTTTGGGACTACTCCCAGCTTAGTTCTCATGGGCTACTGCCAACAGTGCTTGGAAGACCATATGGTGCCAAGGCTCAATCCCAGGCCTTCAGCATGAAAGCAGGTGCTCAGCCCATTGACTTATTTAGTTCTCTTTCTGGCCTCTCCTCATTATTTTTTTAAATGTAGATCAATTTGGTCCATCAATTCTCTTCAGTTTATATGTTTCCCCTACGCCCCCCCCTTAATCAGTGCTTGCTTTCTGTGCCATAAAATAGAAATTTGGGTGCTGGTTTAGCAAGAGAATTTTTTCCTTAGAATCTGGAGAAAAGAACAAGATCATGAGTTCTTCTACACTGGTAGCTTTAGCCCCTATCACAGGTTTGAGTGTGTGTTTATCTGTGTGTTTGTGTATGTCATTGTCCCCTGTCCCTAGACCTCATATGGCTCCAGTCCTGCAGCTGGGGCCCAGCAGTGAGCATGGCGCCCGGGTCTCTCACAGGCGTCTTTGGCGGTGTTTCCTGGTTACGGTAGATGGGGTTTCCTGGGCCAGCTTTCAGGGCTGCACAGCAGGAGCCCAGTGGAGAGGCTCCTCCCTCCCAACCCCCATCTGTACCTGCAGGTACCTGGAGATCTGTTCCGCAGATGGCCAGCACACCCTCTTCCTGAGGGCCAAGGATGAGGCGAGTGCGAAGTCATGGGCAGCTGCTATCCAAGCCCAGGTCAACACTCTTATGCCGTGGGTCAAGGATGAGCTGCAGGCACTGCTGGTGGCCACCAGCACAGCAGGGAACCAGGCCATCAAGCAGATTGGCTGGCTGACAGAGCAGGTACCTGCTGGGTCGGGGTCCCGTCCCTTGCTCCCTCTCCTGCCCCCCATCCATCCCCATTGCTCCTCACCATGTCCCCCCAGCCCTCCGCTCCTCCATTCACCCTCACCCCTTCTCTTTGGGTCTTGTCCTCAACAGCTGCCCAACGGAGGCACAGCCCCCACCCTGGCCCTGCTGACGGATAAGGAGCTGCTCCTGTACTGCTGTCTCCCCCAGACCCGGGAGGCCCTGAGCCAGCCCGCCCGCAGCGCACCACTCATCACCACCAGGTATCAGCAGGTGGGGGTACTTGTCTCACCCACACCTTGGGCGTGGTAGCAGGTCATGCTTGAAAAGCTGGGGAATTCCAGCCCCTTTCATCCAGGAGTCATTTCCCCCCGGAGACCAAAGGAAGTCTTCAACCTATTGGAGCTTCTGTTTCCTCAACTGTAAAATGGGGCTTTGGGATAGAAGGAAGTGAGGCCCACTCATCTTGCATTCATTGCCACCCACTCTGCTCAACATTATGTTGCATAGTTTAGGGGACACGGAGCCACCCCCAACAGTCTCCCCACAGGAGCACCTGGACGGTGTGTGTGGGGGGTGGGAGACACTGACCTGGGGACAGCCTTTACAGCCCAGAGGAAGGAGCTGATGAGCTCTGCTGGGCCTGGTTGGGGGGAGGCTTATTGAAGCTGGTCTTTACTGGATGAGTAGGAGTCTTTTGGTTTTGGCTTTGGGGCCACACCCAGTGGGACTCAGGGCTTATTCCTGGCTCTGAGCTCAGGGATTACTCCTGGTGGTGCTGGGGGACAACATGGAGTACCGGGGTCCAAACCTGGGTCAGCCATGTGCAAAGAAAGCATCCTGTCCACTGTTACTATTACTCTCTCTCTCTCTCTCGTGAGTAGAAGTCTTGATTGTGGGATGGGAGAGATTTTCACACAGAACAGCATCAAAGGTGCAGAGGTCTGAGGACCAGGAGCATGATGGGGGCTGATCATGTACAACCCAGCGAGCAGAATCTGCAGGAAGCGGAGAGGAGGGAGCAGGGAGTTGGCAGGGGTCTGACCTGGTTGAGCCACTTTTGCCCAGTTCAAGAACCCGAGCTCCATCTTAAGCCATTTGGAGGGATGGCAGGGTTTTAGCTTTGTGAGAGAGGTTGATTCAGGTAGCATTTTTAAAAAAAGAGTCCCCAGGGCTGCCACATGGAAAATGCCACGTGGCGGGGGCAGGATGGAATCTGGGAGGCTGCCAGTGATGTGCAGGGGATCTGAGGAAGGTGGGTGGAGGCAGCAGATGGAGAAGAAAGGCCACATTTGCATGGGGAGGCACATGGGTGGTAAAATGCAGCCGGCTTCGTGTGGGCCAGATGGGGAGGGTGAGGGAGGTGTCCAGGATGAGTGGGTCTCGGGGAGGCTTGGCACAGGGTCTGGGCAAGCAGTGGGACCGGGGAACGACATGCAAAGGGAGGAGTCGAGAGCAAGATGCTGAGCTGAGTCTAAACAGTGTGGGTGGATGGGGAGGTCTAGGAGGGGAATCTTGGTACCAAGGGCCTCCTGGAGGTCAGGACTGGGAAATGGGAGGCTAAGCAGCAGCTTCTGGGGCAACTAAGTCAGCTAGAGAGCAGGAAGAGAGGAAGCAAAGGTGGCTGCCGATGGAACTCTGTGGTCTGCTGCCCAAGGAGGGACCGTGAGCTGCCTAAGGCTGAGGGTCTGAGGCCTTGTCTCCTACAACTCTGGCTTAAACACTGGCCCTTGGGAGTAATAAGTCACGGATTGGATCGTGAGTCATGGCTCGCCCACTAAGTAATGGATGAATTGATTCAGATGCTTATTGAGCATCTGCTGTATGCTAGATGTCGTTTTAGTTGCTTAAAAGAGTAAACAAATTAGACAAGAAGTTGTACGAAAGCCTGGGTGATACTCTAGAGAGAAAGGGACATTGGAAACCAACTGCTGCCAGGAACAAGTCTGCTTCTGGTCATTGTGGTGTGGGTTCAGGCAGGGAGGCGAGAGGGTACTACTCCAAGCTGGTGCCACTTGGGGGGAGGTCTGAAGGAGGAGAGGGAGCAGAGCAGCGCAGGGTTGAGTGTGCTTGGAGTTTGAAGATGCCAGCATGGTAGGAGCCGTGGAGAGGTGGGGGAGAGAGACAGAGGGTGGGCGTCTGAGTGCCCATCTAAGGCCCCACCACAGGGCTAGGTGGCAACAGAGTCCCAGACTCCTGTTCTGTCCAGCTCCTTGGCCCAGAGTCCTCTCCTGGCTGACTGATGCCTAATGTCAGACCCTCGGCTCCTGTTCCCCCAGGCTGGTACACTCAGGCCCCTCCAAGGGCTCGGTGCCCTATGACGCAGAGCTCTCCTTTGCCCTACGCACGGGCACGCGCCATGGCGTGGACACCCACCTGTTCAGCGTGGAGTCTCCGCAGGAGCTGGCTGCATGGACCCGTCAACTGGTGGATGGCTGTCACCGGGCTGCCGAGGGTGTGCAGGAAGTGTCCACAGGTGAGCTGGGTGGAACTGGGGGTGCCTCTCAGGTAACGGCTCTCAGTCCCCTTCAAGAGGCTTCCTTTTTTAGAGTGTTAGAAGAAGGGGTAAAACGTGGGTATTGGGGAGATCTAGTTTTATCTTTGGGCCACATATGGCAGTGCTCAGGGCTTGCTCCTGGCTCTATGCTCTCTCCTGATGGTGCTTGGGGCTCCATGTTGGGTGCCAGGGATTGAACCTGGGTGAGAGCATGCATGGCCAGCCCCCTACCTGCTGTACCATCTCTCTGCCCCAGAACCTCTGTTCCCATTGCCCTCGGGGTGAGAGTCTTCTCTGGTTTTCTTGCTTGACTTTGAGACTCTCCTGGTGAGGATGTGAGAATAAGCACCTGGACTGGGCTTGGCTGATCAAATATAGAACAGCTTAATTTAAACATGTAATTTAAATTGTTTGCTTTTGTTTTGGGGCCACACCCAGTGGTGTTCAGGGCTTATTCCTGGCTCTTCACTCGGGAATCATTCCTGGAAGGCTCAGGGGACCTTAGGGATCAAATCAGGGTTAGATGCGTGCAAAACAAGCATCCTCCCTGATGTACTGTTAACGCCAACCTCCTAATTTGAGCTCTAGAGAAAGCTTTGTTTTAGTCTAAGTAGGTCCCAATGATCCATGTGCATCTGGGATTTTCATTTAGCTGGGCAGCTACAGGTCTCTGAGGTTGCCTGGGGCCATGCTTGATGACCTACTTGTTAACCCTTCTGTGGAGGATGGCAGAGGTTAAGCAGCTCCCTTTTTTTCCTTGGGTTTCTAGAAGCAGTGCCAGCAGCGGGCCTTCTGGGGGCCTGTCTGTCTGTGTTTTGTGGGTGGGGGTGTGAGTCTCTGCAGGGTGGGTGGCTGTGGTGTGGCTGTGAGTCTCCCGTTGCTGCGGGCACTCAGGCTCCACTTTGGGAGCTGCTGGTGGGGGTTGGAGCGGTGCAGTCTCAGAGGTGCTGGCTGTGCCCAGGCCCACTCCCCTGTCCTCCCACCTCCACAGCCTGTACGTGGAACGGCCGGCCTTGCAGCCTCTCTGTGCACATCGATAAGGGCTTCACGCTGTGGGCTGCTGAGCCAGGCGCCACTCGAGCAGTGCTGCTCCGCCAGCCGTTTGAGAAACTGCAGATGTCCTCAGACGACGGAGCCAGCCTCCTTTTCCTGGACTTTGGGGGCACTGAAGGAGAGATTGTGAGTGGAGGCGTGGAGTGGGGAGTAGGGGGGAGTATTCTTCAGGATATCAGGTGAGTGGAGCTCCTGACCCTTCTCTCCATCTACCCTGCAGCAGTTGGACCTGCATTCATGCCCCAAAACCATGGTCTTCATCATACACTCCTTCCTCTCTGCCAAAGTCACCCGCCTGGGGCTTTTGGCCTAGGACGTCGCAGGATGCCCAGCCCCGAAGAGCACCTGGCCTGACCTGGCCCTCCGTGGACTGCCTGCTCACCACTGGACTGACGGAAGGGAAAAGGAAGGAACAAGGGTGCAGAGACCCAGCCCTGGGGGTGGGTCGTCTTGGAGGTGCAGGGGTGGAGACCCAGGACAGAGTTAATCCTACCTGTGATGGGGGAGGTTTCCTACCCCCTTCCCCTCTCCCCACCAGTGCCTTTTGCAGAGTGATATTTTGTGTACACAGAAGCCATTCCGAGCCTGGAAACTGCTCCTGTAGAGATCCTGAGCCCAGCCAACAACTGCTGGGCCTCCTCGAGGCCCCCAAGCCATTCCCAGGGGCCCCACCTGAAGCTGGAGCTCCCTGGGATGCAAGGCAAGAGAAAAAGGAGCCTTTCAGCTCTTTTCTCCCCTCAGCTCCACCACTGTGGGGGCATCTGGTTTTACTCTTTGTCCTTTCTCTTCATTATCTTGGATGAATAAACAGCCTGTAAGCATGCAGGCAGCCTGGTCCCGTGTCTGTGCGTCGTACCTCAGCCCTGGGATCCAACCGTGTCTCAGTTTTATCCCAAGATGAACCAGACTCAGGACCGGGTCCTCTTGTCCCATTGAAGAGCAGACTTTTTGGGTCTGGAGCAATAGCACAGTGGGTAGGGCGTTTGCCTTGCACACGGCTGACCCAGGTTCGATTCCCAGCATCCCATATGGTCCTCTGAGCACTGCCAGGAGTAATTCCTGAGTGCAGAGCCAGGAGTAACTCCTGTGCATCGCCAGGTTTGACCCAAAAAGTAAAAAAAAAAAAAGGCTTTTGACCACATGTTCCCCCCACTCCCAAAGAGTATACCAATTATTCATTACTATGTGATAATTCACCCCATCCACCCCAAAATTTAACATCTGAAAGTGAGCCTCTGTTATCTCTTTAATTCTGTGGATCGGGCATTTGAGGGAACTTAACATGGGTTGTTCTTTCCTCTTTTTAATTTTTTTTAAGTGAAGTTATAGCCAAGATGTTGGCTGGGTGTGTACCCTCTGAGGGCGTGAGTGGGGCTGGGTATCCGTGTGCAGTATTGCTCACTCACTTGGCTGTGGGCAGGAAGCCGCAGCTCTTCACCACCTGGGCCTGCACATAGAGCTTGCTCGTGACAAGGAGCAAGCCAAGAGGGTTCCACAGGCCTTTGATGACCTTGTCTTGGATGTCATAGGCTGTCACTGCTGCTTTGTTCTCTTCATCAGAAGTGAGGCTCTGCATTGAGCACACACTTGAGGGGAGGGGGGCGAGGTTGCACCCTCTGAAGAAATATCAGGGAATTGGTGGACCACCATAGGTCGCTGTGGGCCCCATTCCTGCTGAAGTGAGGACACTGGGAGTGTGCTTCGTGGAAAATGTCTTTGGAAGCTGTAATGTGATGGTTAGATGTGAGTTTGCCTTGTTTAGATCTGCTTTGCTTCCATGAACAGAACAACCAGTGACGCCAGTAACAGTAGCTGACATTCAGAGAGAGTTTATTGTCTTCTGACACTGTGCACCCATTTCCTCATGGATCCTCACCACTTCTAAACCTGCGTGCTGGGTGCGCTGATCTGTATTTCATAGGGAAGGGGACTGGGACTCTGAGGGGGTGGGGAGAATGACTGCCCAAGTGACAAGACCTCTGAAATGTCTGAGCTTGGATTCAAACCAGGTCTTTCTACTTTCTGGCCTTGCACTGTCTGTTAGAAATAGAATGAGAGATGCACACGTGATTAAAATTTCCTAGAATTCACAGAAAAAAGTAGAAATAATTTTAATAATATATTTTATTTAATCCACTATATCCCAAATAATATTACTTGTATTACATAACAGTAGAAATACTTATTCATGAAACATTTTACATTATTTTTATGCCATGCCTCTGAATTCTGGGATGTATTTTTATATCTTTAGCACATTTTGAGCCAGGGATGTGGCTCAGCAGCAAAGTGCATGCCTTGCACGCAGTGAGACCTGGGTTCAATCCCCAGCACTGGAAAAAACAAAAAGTAAGCACATCTATAGTATATGTCTATTCAGGTGCCAAATTTTCACTGGAAAGTCACTTGTACTTAGACTTCATAAAATTTGCAGTTACAAACAAATGGATTCATTTAGTGGTGAAATTCATGTACAATATACAGACATTAGTTTATAATGATGCATACCTAAGACTTAAGTAATGTTATCAATCAATGTTACTTTAATAAAAAATTATTCAAAATGTGTGATAAACGTATCTTTTAAGTTAAAAAAAGAGATTCAGATACCCAATTTTTTGCAAATGTACTGGTTTTTCAATATTATGGTTAATTAAATTTAAATAAAATTTAGGTGACAGAGAATTCAAGAGGTAAGACACTCTGTTCAGTAGCAGGGATTGAACTTGGGGTTTCCAAAGCCAAGCATGTGCTTACACCCAGTGATGCTCAGGGGTTACTCCTTGTTGTACACTCAGGAATTACTCCTGGTTGTCTCAGGGGACCATATTGGATGCCAGGGATTGAACTCGGATTGGTGGTGTGCAAGGCAAATGCCCTACCCACTCTGGTCCCAGCTCCTGCTTTTTGAGCTATCTCCTTGGATACAAACTTTTGTTTGTAGAGTCCATATTTTTCTGACATTCTGATTTTTTTTTTACTTTTACAACACTGTACTATTTTTTACTCTTATACCCCATCAGTTTTTTTACTCTTATACTGCTGTGCTATGTTTTACTCTTATAGCCCACCAAAGTTCTACCACATTTTAGGTTACCTGAAAAGTCACAGTGTAAAACAAGAACCCTAATAATACTCCTCTGGGCCTGATGTGATGGCACCACAAAAATGCTAATGTAGAGGAGTGGGAGGGACTAAAAGGCTCCTCAGGGCCTTGACTGATCTCAGCTCTCACTATTTTCTTTTTTGTGCTTTTTGGGTCACACCCAGCGATGCACAGGGGTTACTCCTGGCTCTGCACTCAGGAATCACCCCTGGCAGTGCTCAAGGGACCATATGGGACACTAGGAATCGAACCCGGGTTGGTCCCGTGCAAGGCAAATGCCCCACCCTCTGTGCTATTGCTCCAGCCCCCTCAGCTCTCACTTATCCGTGTGCCAGATCGACATTCCGGGGCACCTGTTAGGGGCATCTTGGGAAGCTTCTCTCCTAGCAGCCAGCCTCAGTCTGGCTGAGGAGGTGTTCGGATGAGTCCAGCTCATGGTCTTCATGACACTTCTGACCTTTGAGTCTTCCAATCTGAGCTCAGAAATTCTGCCCTTCTACCTCCCCTCACATCTCTCTATCCACACAGAATCTGCCAATATAATAAAAAGTTGTTCCTTATGACTTGTGGAAAAAAATGAAAGAAAAAGAACCATAGTACAATTCTTTGCTTAGTTTCTGTTTGGGAACCATAGCTGGAGATGCTCAGGGGTTACTTCTGGCTCCGCACTCAGAAATTATGCCTGGCGGTGCTCGAGGACCATATGGGATGCTGGGGTTCAAACCAGGGTTGGTCACATGTAAGGCAAATGCCATGCCTGCTGTAGTACTGCTCCAGTCCAAGAACCATAATATAATTCTTTGCTTTTTTTTTTAGCCATACTTGACAGTGCTCAGAGGTTACTCCTAGCTCTGTGCTCAGGAATCATACCTGGTGGACTATATGGGGGACTATATGGGATGCCAGAGATTGAAGCTGGGTCAGTTGCTTACAAGAAAGTGCCCTACCTATTATATACTACCTCTACAACCCCAATAGTACATTTATTTGCCTGTGTGTGCCTTTGTATGTGTGAGTTTATGTGTTTATTTGTATTTGCAGCATCACAGGTCAAACTTAGAGCTTCATACATGTGAGACATGCATTGTTCCCAGGAGCTGTATTACCAGCTCTGTTTTCCTTCTTTCTTTCTTTCTTTCTTTCTTTCTTTCTTTCTTTCCTTCCTTCCTTCCTTCCTTCCTTCCTTCCTTCCTTCTTTCTTTCTTTCTTTCTTTCTTTCTTTCTTTCTTTCTTTCTTTCTTATGCTACACTAGGTTTAAACAGAGGACCATATGGGGTTGCTGGATATTGAATACAGGTTGGCTACATGTAAGGCAAGTTCTATTCATTGTACTATGCTCCAGTTCCTAGACATATATATATATATATATATATATATTTTTTTTATGTATTTTCTTTTTGGGTCACACCCAGTGATGCTCAGGGGTTACTCCTGGCTCCGCGCTGAGGAATTACTCCGGGTGGTGCTTGGGGGACCATACGGGATGCTGGGGATTGAACCCAGGTCGGCTGCATGAAAGGCAAAGGCCCTACCCACTGTACTATCGCATCAGCCCCCAGCCCTATATTTTTGATTGGACTAATATCCAGTGATCTTCTAAGGAGACAGAGTAAACTTCATTGCATTAAGTCTCAAACTCCTAGCATTCAGAAGGATTATTGCCACTGTTTTCCAAGGCTTTGATATCATTCTGTGAACAATTGCTCCAGACTCTGAAATATTCTCCCCATGTATCTCCTCGCCTTTCCCTCTCCAGTGCATGTGTTCTCCACATGAGTCACTATGGAGGCAAAGAAATGAAGAAATACCCTATATTCTCACTCATAGGGAGTACATAAACAAAGTCTTACACTCCGACCACAGAATTGAGATTACTATGGGGGGGTGGGACACTTTGGTGACAGGCATGATGTAGTAACACTGGACACCACATAAGCATTCACTCTTGTACAACACTTTAACTTTAGGGGCTGGAGAGCTAGTACAGTGGATAAGGCACTTACTTGCCTTGCATGTGGATGATTCTGGTTCAATCCCTAGCACTGCGTATAGTCTCCTGAGTCCTGCCAGGAGTGATCCCTGAACCTTGTTGGGCGTGGCCTTCAAAAACAACAGCCATTAACAAATATAACAGCGTGCCTCCCACCCTCCAACCCCAAATGGGCCAAAAACAACCTTGTAGACATCTAATAGGGTTAAAGAGATCAATTGAGGTAGGATCATCAGGCTATTCTTGCTTTCCTGATTTTGGGGGCTGATGTTGGCATCTTGAGACTGAAAGTTTTCTTCAAAACCACAGGTCTTGGGGCTGGAGCAATAGCATAGTGGGTAGGGCGTTGGCCTTGCATGCGGCCGACCTGGGCTCAATCCCCGGCATCCCATATGGTCCCCCAAGCACCGCCAGGAGTAATTCGTGAGTGCAGAGCCAGGAATAACCCTTGAGCATCGCTGGGTGTGACCTAAAAAGCAAAAAAAAAAAAAAATAAATAAAAATAAAAAACAAAACCACAGGTCTCCGCACAGCATGACAGAAAGGCTGAGGGATTAAAACAGTAGAAGCATTCTACCAGAATGACTGCTAGCATACAACTAACCAAATTCCCTCTCCCTTAGGGGAAGTAATTCTGAGGCATTATACACTGTTTACCAGAAGACTCCACCAGAACTAAGATCCATGTGACACCCAGGGTAACTGGTTCGACAGCACGTTCTTGATGGGCTCCCTCCCCTCTGCCTCATTCCCCCACTCCCTGTGGTTTTCCTGACATCATCTACTGCACTCAGATCCTTGTTGCAGGGTCAGCTTCCTGGCAACACAAACCAAAACACAAAGCGATCATTTATTCATTCAACACATGTTTATTAAGCCCTTCTATGAGTCAGACTCTATGCTAGACCTTGGGGATATTTCAGAAAAGACAGACTAGCCCAGCTCTCAGAGAACAAGAGAACAAATAATGCTAACATTTTGAATCATGACAGTATAGGAAGGATGTGCCATTTATTAGTCATGGTCAGAGAGGGCCTCATTGAACTGTAATTTAATTTATTATTTTTAATATATTTTTTAAATTTTACATTTATTTTTTGGTGCAGTGTAGGGATGGAACCCAGGGCTACACACATATGTAGTAATTGTTCTACTTCTGAGGTCCACTGTTGGCCCATACATATATGTGTATTTATATGAAATACATATACATATATATATTTTGCTTTTTGGGTCACACCCGGTGATGCACAGGGGTGACTTCTGGCTCTGCACTCAGGAATTACCCCTGGTGTTGCTCAGGGGATGCTGGGAATCGAACCCGGGTTGGCCACGTGCCAGGCAAATGCCCTATCCTCTGTGCTATTGCTCCAGCTCCCACATATATATTTTAAATGAAGAATTGATATTTAAGCTGTGACAAAAAGGCTGAGAAGGAACTCTCCAAGAAAGAATTTGTGGGTGAACTTTCCAGAAAGAGAATAGTAAGCATGAAGGCTCTGAGATAAACAGGGGCTTAGGGTCTTGAAGGAGCAAAATAAAATTATGTAGTTGAAGTGGGGTTCAGTTAGAGAGACCATGCTAAGAGAAGTAAGCAGTAAAAAAAGTATGTGGGAGAACTAAAAATAATTAGAAATCAGATCATGCAGGCCCTAGGGCACAGTAGAAAATCTGGATTTTAGTGTTAAGGCAATGTCCAACCATTGGAGTTCTCAGCAGAGGAATGATGTGGTCCGGGTTAACAAAACAAAGAAAATTAAGATACACTCTCTTAGACTCTGTGAGAAATGGTTTATACAGAGCCACAGGTTTGCAGAAATTTCCTGCCTATTGCAGAAAATTTTACTGCCACTGGAGAGATGGTGTAGGAGTTAAGATGCTTACAGCGTAGGAGTTAAGATGCTTGCACACAGCTAACTTTACTTCAATCCCCAGTACCACATATGGTCCCAAGCACTGCTGGGAGTTACCCCTGAACACAGAGTCAGGAGGAAGCTGTGATCATTGTTGGATGTGGTCCAGAAAAAAAAGGTTATTGCCACATAACATATGATATTCCTGGATCATGTTGCAGCATTACTGTAAATATTGATATGGAAAGAAATAATTTTTGTTACAATTTAACAATTTCCTATCTTACTGGAATGAGAAGTATTTCTCCTGTTGTCACTGGTCAGCATGCATAAAAGATTGAAAGCCACTGCTCTGGGGTTCAGGGGCAAGGGCAGAAGCAGGAACAGTCAGCAAGCAGGTGATTGCCATTATTTATTTTGCCGTGCTGGGATCAAACTCTAGGTCTCATGCATTCTAGCATATGAGTTATCTTTGAATCACATCCCCAGACTGCAGTCATTTTTTTATGCTAATGATGACATCTGTAGTACAAAAACAGCAGAACCCGAAGTTGACAGATTTGCAACATTTTGGAGTTTGAACTGACAGTCTTGGATGACAGATTGAATATGGAGATTGAGATAGGAAACAAAAATGATTTGTAGGTTTCTCCTGTGCAACTGGGAGGATGCTTGGACCTTATATAGGGATGGGCCAGAGTGGGCAGAACAGATTTTGTGAGATGATGATGATGATGATGATGTGTGTGTGTGTGTGTGTGTGTGAATTAAGAGAGCTAACCATAATGCCCCAAAGTAGAGAGAGAGTATGGGGAATATTGTCTGCCATGGAGGCAGAGGGAGGGTGGGAAAGGAGGGGTATACTGGGGATATTGGTGGTGGGGAATGTGCACTGGTGGAGGGATGGGTGTTTGATCATTGTGTGATTGTAACCCAAACATGAAAGCTTGTAACTGTCTTGTGGTGATTCAACAAAATTTAAAAAAAAAGAAAATTAAGAAATCTGTAGAAGTTAAAAGTGGTGATTAGACACCCAAAGAAAGTTGCAGCATAAGATATGCATTGAAAGTCTTTAACTGATAGAACCAGGCAATGGAATGGAAATATAATGTGAACCACCTATGTGATAAAATTTTTTTCAGTAGCCATAGTCCTTGCCGGGGCCCCTGGAGGGGAGTGGGTTGAGTTTCCCTCCCCGCCCCAACCAGGGCTCCGGCAGCCGAAGACCTCCAGAACCAGCCACCACCATGCTGAGACCACTCTCCGCATGCATGAAGGTACCGGCAGAGGAACAAAGGCATGCGGGTCCCGGGGCTGAGATCTCCAAGCCTGCTCGGATTAGGGCTGAGCATCCTCCACCCAGATCCTCCATCTTCCAATAGGCAGGGGTCACACCCACCAACTGGCCCCCTGGCGCCGTGTAATCCCATCAGTGGCCAAGACCCAGAGACTATAAAAACGCGCACATTTGTGGCTGCGCGACATCTTATTATCTCATTCTTACTTTGGACAAAATGGCAGGCTACCAAATGTAACCTGCCCACACGTCAGAGTCTGGCAAACTCCCCGTGGTGTACCCAATATGCCAAATACCAGTAATAATGATGGGTCTCATTCTCCTAACCCTGAAAGAGCCTTTAATATGGCACTTTTAAAAAATCTCAGGGCTAGGATGAAGGAGACGTTACTGGGGCCTGCTCGAGGCAATCGATGAACAACAGGATGGTCATGATCGTGATCGTGATCAGTAGCCATATCAGAAAAAGCATAAAGAATGGACCACAGAGATAGTGTAGGGGTAAGCCACCTGCTTTCTGTGCAGCCAACCTGGGCTCAATCCCCCAGCGTCACATATGGTCCCCTTTTCACTGCCAGAATGATCCCTATGTTAGAGCAGGAGTAAGTCCTGAGCACAGCTAGCTGGTTGAAATCTCTCACACACATCCACCCAAGTAAAAAGACATAAAATCGCTGAATCATATGGAAGTTCTGTTTTTGCATTTTTGAGAAATCTCCATTCTATTTTCCAAAGAGGCTGAAGCAGACAACATTCTCAGCATGATAGTTACCCCATGCACAAAAATATTCATTCAAAAATATATATGCACACCTATGTTCATCATAGTGCTTAATACACTCACCAGGATATGGAAACAAATCAAATGTATAATAATGGATGAATAAAGAAGTTGTGATATATAAACACAATGGAACACTATGCACTCATAATAAAAGATGAAGTAATCAGTTTGCTGCAACTTACTTATAAAAAGAAACAGGTGAAATTAATTTTTGCAATATTGGGATATAATCCAGGACCTCACATATGCAAGTCAGGCATTCTATCACTAAGCCAGACCCCATCTCCTGTAAATAGTGCTTATTTAACAGCATATAACCAGTATAGTTTTTTACTTTCCTTTTTATTTTTAAATATTTATTTTAGGTTTTTTTTCCATTCCAGGCAGTGCTCAGGGCTTACACCTAGGTCTGCTTTCAGGGCTCACTCTGGTGGGGTTCAGGAGATCACATGAAGTGTTGAAGAGCGAACCCTGGTCAACTGTATTCAAAACAAGTATCTTACCTGTTGAACTGTGTCTCTGTTCCCATCTTTCATTTTTATTTGAAGTCGGGATCAAACTCAGGGCTTCAAGTACCTAAGGTACAATATGGTCTCCCACTGAGCTACATCCTCTCCGAAGCCAGCCTGAATTTCGGGTGAGATATACTGCCTTTACCCCGGATGGCGCAGGTGCAATCTCCCTGCCTTCTCCAGATGAAATTCCGGTGACCAAGAGATTCCACAAGCAAGGCCCAGGTATTCAGGTTCCAGGACTGAATCTATAGGTCGCATGGTGGCACAGGACCTGGGCTGTCCCTCTGTGGGTCCCTGCCCACCCAGCTGGCTGTCACGCCAACAATTCGCCTCCAGGTGCATCTTAGCGCACCAACAGTCCTGGCCCAGAGACTTCAATTGAATCCCGAAATGGATTATTGCTATACAGAGATGTCTCTGGAATCCAACCATTTACAATCTAGAAATTTACATTTATAATCGGAGCTTCGCAAGCTCTCCTGATATTCAAAATGAGCAATGGAAAATAAATTATCTAGCGTCTGCCCCTGGCAGGCAGGCTTGAATGGTGGTGGGAAAATTCGAGTAAAACATAATGCCCAAAATATTAGAGAGAGAATTGGGGAATTTGTCTGCCATAGAGGCAAGGTGAGAACTGGGATGTGTGTGTGTGTGTGTGTGTGTGTGCGTGTGCGTGTGTGTGGTGGGGGTGTTGGATACTGGGGACATTGGTGGTAGAAAATGTTCACTGGTGTAGGGATGGGTGCTCCATCATTATATGGCTCAATCTCAAACATGAAAGCTTTGTAACTCTGTCCCACGGATCACGATCACGACCATCCTGTTGTTTGTCGATTGCCTTGAGCAGGACTGCAGAGCCAGGAGTAACCCCTGTGCACGGCCAGGTGTGAACCAAAAAACAAACAAAAAAAAATTTAAAAAAAAATACTGCCTTTTCTTCCCATACCCGGCGTGCATTTTCCGTGTGCAGCACCTTCCACTCGCACTCCAGCTCTCAGCCGACTTTGGGGAGCTGCCATAGATAGAGGTTCTCTGCAGCTGTGGACGTTTCTTTCCCCTCCCACCACCCCCATCCCGGAACCCGAACCCAGCCGGACCCTTCGGGGAGAGCACTTCCGTCCACCCGGCCCCTTTGGGGGAGGAACACCCGGACCGAAGTCCCAGCGGACCGGAAGTCGTATGCCCGGGCGCGCGGACTGGGCCGTCCGGGTGAGTCGGGACGGAATCCGTTCGGGTCGGGGGCGACGCTGTGGCGCCGGCTGGCTCTGGCGGGGAGCCTCGCGCAGTGTCTGGACACGGGGGCGCGGCTGCGGGGTCTTCCCGCTGGGGCCTTGGGGCCACCCGTCGAACCCGCCAGCCCGGCAAGACCTCGGGGGTCGCGCGGTTCTGACTGTCGCGGCGACGCTGGCAGCTTCCTGGTATTCGGCTCCCCACGAATCTCGGAGCCCTCAGCGAGCGCCTCCGTTTATTAAAGCAAATTATTATAAATTTTAATTTTATTTATGTATTTACTTTAGGCTCGGGCCGCCCTGGCCACTCGCGGGCCAGGCGTGAACTCCGGCCTGTGAGTTCTCTCCCTGGCCCTTGTTCTCATCCACTTTTTTAGTGTTTTGTGGTGTCGGGGATGGAACCCAGGGTCTCGCACGCGTGAAGCCAGCGCTCTCTGGCTGAGCTCCACCCCTGCTCCCTCTGTTATATCCTGGCTCTGTGCTCCGGGATCGCTCCCGAAGTGGCTAGGGGCATCATAGGGGGTTCCAGGGATTGAACACCGGTCTGCCGTGTGCAAGGCCTTAGCTGCCGTACTGTCTCTCTGATCTTGGCCCCTTTTATTTACTGAATGTCCCACTCTTTTTTTTTTTTTTCTTTTTGGGTCACACCCCGCGATGCACAGGGGTTACTCCTGGCTCTGCACTCAGGAGGTATTACTCCTGGCGGTGCTCTGGGGACCATATGGGATGCTGGGAATCGAACCTGGGTTGGCCGTGTGCAAGGCAAACGCCCAACCGGCTATGCTATCACTCCAGCCCTCCTCTCCCCCTCCCTCCTTTTTTAAAGTCAATTTTTTCCCCCCTGTGTTTTGGGTCACACCGCACTGCCCTCAGTATGCCAGGCTTACTCCTGGGGTATCCACATGTGGTGCTGGGATTCGAACCTCTTAGCAGCTTGCAAGGCGAACACCTTACCTGCTGTACTCTCTCTGGCCCTTTTAGTGATTAGTATCTGTCTTCATAGCATGGTTTAAGAGGGTCTCTGATAAAATTTTTATATGTGGAAATTTATGTCTGTTTGCATTAGTGCCCCTAGCATGTGTTTTCTCTAGGGGAAAATATTGAGAGAGAGAGAGGAGAGAGAAGAGAGGGAGGGAGGGAGATAAAGGATACATGGCCTTTATGGTTGATCTTATGACAGAATTGGAATGTTGGAGCCTCCCACTACTGTGTTTCCATCAGCATGCCTCTTTTGATCTGTGAGCAGAAGCTTTGTTGTTGCCCCTTGATTTGTTGCATATGTTTTGGTTAAAGTTAGTACCTCTTCATCTGTTGTTCCAATGACCAATAGTGTCTGTCCTTACTCACTTTCTTTAGTTTGAGTGCCATTTGGTCTGATACAAGTATAACTGTCCAGCTTTTTCTCCCCGAGGTGCTAGGGATCAAACCCAGATCCTCACTTGTGCAATGCAATTGCTCTATCACTAAACTGCAACCCCAGCCTCATAATTTATCCTCTTATCTGTTGCTGGGCACTTGGGTTGTTTGCAGATTTTGGCTCTTTTAAATAGCATTGCAATAAATATAATGCAAATATCTTTTTGATTTAATGTTTAAGTGTTCTTGGGGTAGATGCCAGGAGTAGGAAATCATGGGATCACAGCTCTATTCTTTTGTTGTTGTTGTTTAATAATTTATTCCTCAGTTATGATACTTTTTTTTTTTTTGCTTTTTGGGTCACACCTCAGCGATGCTCAGGGGTTATTCCTGGCTCTGCACTCAGGAATTACTCCTGGCGGTGGTTGGGGAGACCATATGGGATGCTGGGGATCGAACCCAAGTCAGCTGCGTGTAAGGCAAATGCCCTACCCGCTATGCTATCGCTCTGGCCCCTAAATTTTATTTTTATCTATACTACCAAAACATTGCATTCATTTTCTTCTGGCTATCGTTTGCTTAGATTTATTCATGTGATTAACATTTTCTTTTTATTTTTATAAAGTATTCCACAATATTTGATTATATTTAATATTTGAACACCAATCCTACCACCATAACACCTTCCCACCACCATATTTGGGATGTTTCCATCCTGGTCCTCAACCCCTGCCCCAAAGCAGAACTGAAGTTCATTTTGTATTGTTTGTTATAAATAAACAGCTGAAAGTATTCCAAAAAAGTTTCCTTAGAGGAAAGTGTGTGAAGATGGTTATATTTCACCCAGTGGCCATTAAGCCCTTCAGTAAGAAAGTACTAACATGTTGTTGAAGATTGACCCTTGTATGCTTATGTATATATATAAAATATATCTGTAAGAATATATTTCCCGCTAAGATTGGTTGCCTTCTACTTTAAACCCCATGGTGTGCTGCTTTTGGAATATTGTTGGTGAGGCCCAGAAGAAAATTCAGTAGTGGGTGAGGCTCTGCCCGAGCGTGTGGAGAGTGGCCGTGAACATGGCGGCGGTTGAGTTCTGGAGGTTTTTGGCTACCAGGGCTGGGTCCTTTGGGGCAGGGAGGGGCCTCACCTGCCCCCTTCTGGGGTACCCCCAATGAAACTCAGCTCTATTCTTAATTTGTTTTTGCGCTATTCCTGGTGGTGCTGGGGGGCTGTTCCTAGCACTGTTTAGGTGGTGTTCTCAGTGCTGCCTGTGCGTGGCACAATCTGGTGCCAGGACTCAAACCTGGTCTTCCTCTGTGAAAAGGAGTTGCTCAGTTCAGGTAGCTTTCTTTCTGGGGCCCTGACCCAGATAGATATCCGCACATCTAAAACTTAACAACAACAAGACTGTTTCATTTTCTTATTCTTCATGTCTTCACTGGAATAGCACTTTTTCTTTGTATTTTCAACTTGACTTAACAGGTCAAGAGGCTTAGCTTAGGCTCTCTCTTCTCTCTCTCTCTTCCCCTACTTCCTCCATTCCCCTCTCCCCTCTCCCCTCTCCCCCCTTCTGGCTCTTCATTCAGGAATCAATTGTAGTGTACTGGGTTAGGCATCCTTCTGGGATGTGGGGATTGAACCCAGCTTGGCTGCATGCAAGGCAAGTTCCCTACCTGCTGTACTATCTCTCTGACCCTTTTCTTGTTCCTCCCCCTCTACCCCCCGCCCCCGGCTTTCTGGGTTTCACCTAGCGATGCTCAGGGGTTACTCCTGACTTGGGAATTACTCCTGGGGGACCATATGGGATGCCAGGGATCGAACTGGGATGGCTGCATTGAAGGCAAACGCTTTACCCACTGTACTATTGCTCTGGCCCCTTCTCTTCATTTTTTGACTGCTGTCCACTAAGTTTAATCATTTCTAGCTTTTGATTGAAAGAGATACGACTTCCTTTTACATGAACATTTAAAAGGCCATTATCCAGTTACTAACTGGTGTAGTCTTTGTTTTGGGGCCATTCAGCAATGCTCAGGAGTTGCTCCTGGTTTTTTGCTTGGAGGTAGCTCCTGATGGATGGTGCTTGGCAGGTTGGAGGGGGAGAGGGGAAACATGGGCTGTCAGGGATTAAACATGGCCTCATGTATCAAAGCCATGTGTTCAGCCCATTGAGCTATTTCTCTGGTCCCATTGGGCCGATTTAGTATTTTCCTGCCAGGATTAGGGAGGTTGAGGAAGCGAAAGATAGGGGAATAGGTGTTCAATGGAGTAGTGAGGACACACAATATTGGGTTTGGAGGAATAGTGTAGGAGCTGAGAGAGTTTAACCTTTCAAGTGTATGGTCACATTTCAGATCCCTAGTGCCTCACATATGCCAAGCATGTTGTTTATGGCAGCTCTGCTGTTGGATGTTGGAGCCTGGCAGCTCTTGTCTTGTCCAGAAATTACTGGAAGCAATTTCTAAGTGCACTGGAGCCAGGTGTGTGTAAGCACCACAAAAAGGGGTACAACTGCAGGAAGTAATACAGCTTAAAAAGATATGAGTGCCTAATGCCCATAAGTGGAGAGAGAGTAAAAGGGAAATTCTGCCATAGAGGCAGGGGGAGGGGTGCAATGGCGTGGGGATAAGGGTACTGGGGACATTGGTGGTGGAAAATGTATACACTGGTGGAGGAATGGGTGTTCGATCATTGTATGATGGAAACTCAAACATGAAAGCTTTGTAAGTGTAGCTCACGGTGATTTAATTAAAAAAAAAAAAGATGTGAACAAGTACTTTTGAGGGGCTGGAGCAATAGCACAGTGGGTAGGGTGTTTGCCTTGCACGTGGCCGACCTGGGTTTGATTCCCAGCATCCCATATGGTCCCCTGAGCACTGCCAGGAGTAATTCCTGAGTGCAGAGCCAGGAATAACCCCTGTGCATTTCCAGTCGTGACCCCCCCCAAAAAAAAAGGCACTTTTGAAAACATACAATGCTGTAAATCACTGATACTGAAGTTAAAAGTACAGGTTGAAATCGGAATAAAATTTGGGGTTAGTAGGATTATGCAGTTCACAGTAAGGTAAAGGTAAAGGTAAAGGCCCTCCCGTTGATCGTCGATTTGCTCGAGCAGGCCCAGTAACGTCTCCATTGGAGACTTTGTTGTTACTGTGTCTGGCATATCGAATACTCTCGGTAGCTTGCCGGGCTCTCCGAGAGGGGCGGAGGAATCGAACTCGGGTCGGCCATGTTGGCTGGGTGCAAGGCAGACGCCCTACCCGCTGTGCTATCGCTCTGGCCCTCCCGTTGATCGTCGATTTGCTCGAGTGGGCCCAGTAACGTCTCCATTGGAGACTTTGTTGTTACTGTGTCTGGCATATCGAATAACTTCTATAAATTATAAAGTTGTTGCTAGCCATTCTAGCGTAGTAATGTCTTTCAAAATATCTCTATAATCCATGATGCCAGTAACTCAGATTTTGAGCTTGTATAATATGCAACACTAAATTATGTCATGATATGAACATTTCTTGCATCTTTACTGTTGAGAGAGCACATATAAAAGTACTGTGGGGAAATTAAAAAAAAATATGAGTGCCATGGCCAGGAGGGGGACCTCTGGTGAAAACTCTGTTGACTTCTGGCGACCTGTATAACTAACTACCTAAACTAACTGAGGTATTCCTAGCAAATATGTGCAGACGTTGGAATTAAAGGAGTGCAAACTTTGGTGAACACTGTGGTGATGTCTGCAAGTACTGCAACGTGATGGGCAAACCTTGGCAAGCACCAGAGCTAAAAATGTGTGGGAGCAGCACAGCCAGGCTATGTGCAGCCCCCATCATTTCAGTCGATAAACAACAGTGAAGGAAAGGAGTCGGGGAGGGGGGGAAGGAAGGGAATGAAAAACAGTGTATTATTTATTGGGTTTACTGACTTACAAGTTAGGGTTTGTGGTGCCCCTAAATAGTTAAATTTGTAATTTTACACATCACTGTAACAGATCTAGTAATGGAAAAGTGTGAGCTAATGTGAGAATTACCAAAGAGAGACACATTATGTAGTGAGTACATGAGGCTGGTAAAATGGATCTAATAAAGACTTATTCAGAGGTTGCCACAAACCTTCATTTAGTGGAAAATAGAACCTGAGAAGTGCAGTGAAATTGGAATGCCTGTAAACTTGAAGTACTTCGGGTAGTGCCCTCTATAAGAGGTTTAATAAAAGTTGGTGATGACTCTCATTCTTTTGCAGATGTTGGACTGTATTTAGCACCATGCATCCCTTAATTCGTATCCTCCCATCACAGAGGTCGCTGAGGCGATGTCCCTTAGCCTCTGTGTCCTGGCTGTCACTTAGAAACTTCACTGAACAAAATAGTGTTCCCAGTACTGCATGTCCCCTTCCGGAGAAGCAGCAGGAGGATGGAGTTCGGAAGGATTTTAGCACCAGACTGGCCACTGGACCAACTTTTCAGTATTTTTTAAGTACATCAGCAATTCAAGAGAAACACTTTTCTCCAGATGTGGAGGATCTACCCCCTTATCTCATGGTGGATGAACTTTTAGGAAAACAGAGAAAAGGTTGGTTTTACTTTTGTTTTTCTCTTTAATCTTCCTGCTCTGCTCTTTTGCAGCATCTGTGTCCTGTTTATTTTTATCTCTTTACCTGTTTATTTTTCATTTATTTTTTATTGTGGACCTAGCTTTGGAGGGAAATATGGGAAGACTTAAATTATAAAGATCAAATCCTACCAAATAACATTTATATAAAACTCATAGTGTTGGTACATGCAACTGGTGGATAGAAATTCTCTTGGTTTTTGGTTACCTTTGGAAGTCCTATACTTTTTGTTCTTCTTTTTGGATTGTCTTCAATCATAAAATAAGATTTCTTAATTGATGCTTTAGAAATGTGCTTTTTTGGGGCTGGAGTGATAGCATAATGGGTAGGGCGTTTGCCTTGCATGCGGCCGACCCGGATTCGATTCCCAGCATTCCATATGGATATGGTCCCCTGAGTACCGCCAGGAGTAATTCCTGAGTGCAGAGCCAGGAATAACCCCTGTGCATTGCCAGGTGTGACCCAAAAAGCAAAAAAAAAAAAAACCAAAACAGTGCTTTTTTATGCTTATACAGTTAGTTAAAATGCATTTAAGTATTTGAAAAATAACTAAAAGAGAATTAGATTTCACCTTTGCTCTGTTTTAAAAAATATATATCTCCTTTTTTACGTAGAACTGCTATTTATTCAGCCTAAAAATATCTCTTTATATATATTTTCTGTTTATTTGTTTTTGGGCCACATCCAGCAATATTCTAGTTACTTATGGCTCTGCTCTCAGAAATTACTCCTGGTTGTGCATAGGGGACCATATGGGATTCTGGAGATTGAACCCGGTCAGCTGCATGCAAGGCAAACACCCTACCTGCTGTACTATCTCTCTTGCTTCCCTTTATAATTAGAGATTTTTGGTGTAGGGACTGGATCTATGACTTAAATGGTAGAGCACATGGCAAACATATTTTAGTCCCTAGGTTAGATTCCTGGCACCATAAGAACCCCCAGGCACCAGTGGCTATAGCTTTTATTTAAAAATAAAATAAAGATTTGACTGCAACATGGAACAAATTATTTATAAGTTATTTTCTTTTAAAATGTTTTCAGGGCTGGAATGATAGTGCTGGGTTTAACACACTTGCGTTGCATATGACTGCGGATTGATCCTGGCACTGGATGTCCCCTGAACACATTAGGGAGCAGCCCCTGAGTTCAGAGCCTGGAGTAGTCTTGGAGCACTACCACCTACCCCAAACCCTCTCCAAAGGGAAAAAATAGTTTCCAGATATATCCATAATTAAGAAATAAAAATTGCTGCAAAGTATGTTGTGTAATACTGTAATGTATTTTAGTTTTTGTCCCATAGATGGTTATTAAGTTATTAAAATTTTTTGTTGTTGTTTTTGTTTTGGGTCCATACACAGTCATGCTCAGGGCTTACTACTGGCTCAGGAGTTTGAAGTCAGATTAGTCATGTGCAAGGCAAGTGTCTTATCTTCTTATCTGCTATGCTATCTCTTGGTCAAAGAGTTAGTCCAGCAACTAAGGTGTTTGCCTTGCATGCAGCTGATCTGGGTATGATCCCCTTCACTGCAGATGATCCTCCCAACTCCGCCAGGAGCGATGATACGTGATATGTTCTGAGCACTTTTTTCTATCATAAAACTATTCTTATATTCATACTTATTTCAGGTTTTTTTTTGTTTTTTTTTTTTTTTTTTTTTTGCTTTTTGGGTCACACCCGGTGATGCTTAGGGCTGACTCCTGGCTCTGCACTCAGGAATCACCCCTGGCGGTGCTCAGGGGACCATATGGGATGCTGGGGATCAAACCGGGATCGGCCCTGTGCAAGACAAACGCCCTACCCACTGTGCTATTGCCCCAGCCCTTTGCTTCAGTTTTATTAGGGGTCAAGTTAAGGTCAAGTTAAGCTTGAGTCTCCTAACCAAGGCTCTCTTGGGTGAGAGCTTCACTTGCTAGAAAAGGGGTTATAGAAAGGCCAAAAGTAGTAGAAGCTTTCTAGTGTGAAGTTAGCCATGTGTTCATTGTCCTGAAGCTTCTGCAGATTCACAATAATTTATTACATTCAATATTTCAACACCAATCCCACTACCATTATACCTTCTCACCACCATTATTTTGAACTTTCCCACCACCACCCAAAAGCAGATGCTAAATAATTTATTTTGTATTGCTTGTTATGAAAATGCACTAAAAATGATCCAAAAATTTTCCATAGAGGGAAGTGTGTGAAAATTATATCTTTCCTTGGAGCCATTAAGTCCCTGTATAAGAGATCACTAACATGTTGTTACAGGTTGAGCCTTGTGTGCTAATATATCTCTCTCTCTTTATATTTTGATCAAGATCGGTTGTCTTATACTTTACACCCCATCAAATGAAGTGTGCTATTCTTGGTATATATCAGTGGCATAAAGTATGAGAATCCAGGAATTCTACAATTTTAAATAGGGTGATAGAGCTGGAGTAAAATTTTCAACTGGATGGTGACTTTGGGGTCTGGAGGCATCTCTCCAGCGGTTTGCTCTCTTTCGAGGTTTATGAGTCTCTGGATCATTGCCATTAATGAGCTTATATGGTGCCCAGAGGCAGTTTGTGGGCTGACTGCCAGGCACCCAGAAACACAGAGAGATGGGGAGGAAGGACGCCCATTCCCAACTCTGTGCACGCCTGATTTCAGTCACAAAACCTGCTTACCCGGGTTTTTCAGTGAATTCATGCATCCACAGCCTGAAGATTGGCCATGAACACAGTGGTAATTGGGTTCTGGAGTTTGCGACTGCTGGGATTTTGTTAGGGCAGGTGGAGGGACTCACCTGCCCCCACTCCACGATACCGAATGAAGTCAGCCTGACGAGGGGTGAGGAGGCATCTCTGCAGCTGTTGCTCTCTTCCAAGTCAAGTTCTGCAGATATTGATGATAATCTTTCAGGTCTTGACAGTTGTCGATGCACAGAGGTCACTCCTGGCTCTGCACTCAGGAATTACTTCTGGTAGTGCTCAGGGGACCATATGGGATGCTGGGAATCGAACCCAGGTCAGCCGCGTGCAAGGCAAACGCTCTACCTGTTGTGCTGTGGCTCCAACCCCAGGTCTTTGCAGTTTCATGGAAATTTTGGAATTTTATTTTGTTTTGGAGCTACATCCAGGGTGCTGAAGGCTTACTCCTGACTCTGGGGACCTGTGGAGTGCTGGGGATCAAATTTGGTCAGTAAACACTCTACCCACTGTACTATTATTGCTTTAGCCCCAGAAACTCTGGCTTTTGGGTTGTTGATATTTTGGTTTCCCATGTGGCAGTTGGTTGAGACAGTATTTTACCCTTTACCTTGGTGGTTTTAATTTGTGACCTCCCTGATTTGGTGTCCTTTAGCTTGAATTACTTCAGTTCCATTCTTGGAATTCTCTTTTTTGTTATTTCTGTTAATCTTTTTTTCTGTATAATCAGTCTAGGAATTGAATTATGAAATCATGGAGAGGCTGAAGCGATTTGCCTTGCATGCGGCCGACCCGGGTTTGATTCCCAGCATCCCATATGGCCCCCTGAACACCGCCAGGGGTAATTCCTGAGTGCAGAGCCAGGAGTGAACACTGTGCATCGCCGGGTGTGACCCAAAAAAGCAAAAAAAAAAAAAAAAAAAATAAAAAGAAATTATGGAATATGTACATCAATCAATGACTTTTTTTTTTGGCCGAAGGACTCGGGGATGTTTGTGCCACACTTGGCAGTTCATGGTTACTACTCCCAGCTCTCTGATTGAGGGTGGTGGCATTTGTGGGACCACGTGGGAAAGCAGCATCCACCACGTGCAAGGGGTTTTATCTTCGGTACTATCCCACCCCAACTGTTGCTTATTGTGTTTTTTAAAAAATTTTTGTTCCTCTTGGGTACTTTCTGACTGAAGTACTGACATTTTTCAGACAACGAAGCAGCCAACAAATATTTTAGATGTTTTATGACAACACTCAGGGCTTATTCCTGGCTCTCTGTTCAGGAATGTCTCCTGGCAGGATCAGGGGACCATATGGGTGCTGGGGATCAAACCCAGGTTGCCTGTTTGCAAGGCAAGCATACTACATGCTGTACTATCTCTCTGGCCCTTTCTTTTTCTTTTCTAAATGATTTCTGTTGATTTTAATATGATTCTCTGTCATTCAAAAACATTTTTTAATAGGGGCCATTCTCAGTGATGCTGAATGGTACTGACTTGGTGGTGTTCCTGGATACCGAAGGTGCTTGAGTGAACATGTGCCTGTAATTGAACTTAGGACATTGAACATATGAGGCATATATTCATTATTGAAACCTTATTTGTTATTGAAACCTTATTTCTAGTATCTATCATTAAATTCAGTGTCACCAGAATTTATTGGGTACTAAAGTGTGCTTCTGGAGATTGGAAACATAACTCAAATGGCTGGTGTACCTACTTTGCATGCAGGAAACCTGGGTTTAGTTCCCTCAGCATTTTTGGAAGTGACTCCACAAGCAGCACCATGGGAGTGACCCTGACCACTGTCCAAAAAGCAAAAAGCAAAACAATAAAAATTTAAAAAAAATATTGCGTTTTGGGAGTATGCATTGAATTGGACTTTTTGTAGTAGGAGGCAAACTTCTAACCATTGAACAGTCTTCCTGGCCCCAGTTTTTCCTGGCCTTAGATATAGGTCTCTCTATTTTTTTTCTTTATTCTACTGATGAGTGCAGTCATTCTGTATCTGATCCTCTCCTGACTCATTTCACGCAGCATGATACCCTCCATGTCCATCCATTTATAGGCAAATTTCATGACTTAATTTTCCCTAACAGCTGCATAGTATTCTATTGTTTAGATGTACCATAGTTTCTTTATCCAGTCATCTGTTCTGGGTTTTTTTCCAGATTCTTTCAATAGTACTTCAGTGAACATAGAAATGCAGATGGTGTTTCTGTTGTGTGTGTTTTGGGCCCCCAGGGTATTTTCCCAGAAGTGGTAATGCCCAGCAATGCTGGGTCAAATTACTAATTTTTAATTTGTGGTTTTGTATACTATCTGACTAGTACTCTTATTTCCAGAGTCTAGAGAATCTTATTTTGAGTAATGTTTGGATTTTAATTATTTTCCCCCCAGGTTGATAATCACTGTCAGTCCTCCCTTTTCTTACATTTTTTCAGACCATGTTTTCTTGATTCTCATATACATGTTCCCTCCCCCACCATGGGAAATGGCTTATAATTGAATACATAAATAACTTAGTTGTGTTGAAAGAACTGTCTTCATTTATTTTTGATTTTTGGGTCATAACCAGTTATGCAGGGGACCTGCTCCTGATTCTGTGCTCATGAGTGACTCATGGTGATGTTCAGGGAACCATATGTAATGTTGGGAATTGAACTGTGGGTTGGTCTCACGCAATGCAAGTGCCTTAATCCCCACAGTATTTCTTTGGCTCCTGAAAGGCTGTCTTTAATTTGTAGGTCTATTTAGGACGTTTGGAAAGTTTTTTTTTTCCCTCTCTTTTTCCCCTCAATTTTGGGGTTACACCCAACGATGCTCAGGGGTTACTCCTGACTCTGCATTCAGGACTTAATCCTGGCAGTGCTCAGGGGGTCAGATGGGATGCTGGGGATCAAACCCGGGTCAATAATGTGCAAGGCAAATCTTTCTGGCAAAACTATCTTTCTGACACCTGGAGAGGAGACTGAAACGTGATCTCTCTCTCTATCTCTTGATCTCTGTCTGTCTTTCTCTCACATACACATTATTTTATTATAAAATAAAAGCTATATGTGTTTAATATTAGCAAAATAATAACAATTATGTGGTCTCTTTTTTGTCTGCTTAACATGAACTTACCTTCTCTTTGTAGTCTACCTGGAGACCTATGGCTGCCAGATGAATGTGAATGACACAGAGATAGCATGGTCCATCTTACAGAAGAGTGGCTACCTGCGAACCAGTAATCTCCAAGAGGTAACTATTTCTTTTTACCTCTCGTTCCCTAGCTTTGGGTGAGACTGCATTTGTTCTTGTTCTTAGGTGTAGGAATGGGCACATCCTGGAAAGTGTGAGTTCCTTGAGCCTGGAGAAAAAAAATTGTATAGTGGTTAAGGTGCTTCTTATGCATGCAACTGACCCCAGTTAAATCCTTGGCACCATCTGGTGTGATCAGGAAAAAAAAAAAAAGACAAAAATCCAAGAGTGAATTGAGTAAAGTGTGTATCATGGAATTAAAGTATGCTTTTGTTACTTTTGAAATTTTTATGCTTCCTTAAATAGTTCCTTTAGGCAGAGAAATAAAATGGGATGCAAATAGGAGGAAAATAGGGAGTTTAATGGGTTAAATTATTTTATCTTCCCCAACAGAGTTTAAGTTGGGAAAGATGAAATAGTTATGGAGGTTGATAGTGATAATGGCTGAATATGAATGTACTTGATGCTACTGAATTGTATATTTGAAAATGGGTATAAAGGTAAGTTTTATGTATGTTTTTTTTCCAGTTTTATAAAAGGACTGTGGGTATTTAAAAACTCATAATTTTTTTCCCTGTTCTTTATTCAGGCTGATGTGATCCTCCTTGTCACATGTTCAATCAGGTGGGAACGTGTTCTTTCCTATGGAGTTAGTATATTTTGTATAGTGTAGTGTTAGAGCTAACAGTGCTTGACTGGCTTGTTTTCAAAGATCAGCCAATGGACTTACATGTCAATAGTAATGATATAACTGATGTTTGCTGAGCAAATAACTGTGTGTCAGGTCCTGTACAAAATAATCTACGGGCACTAAGTTTTATAACTATGAATTATGTGCTATACCTAAACACATTTTGTTGAAACTCAGAGTGTGTTGCTGAGTGACTGACTCACCTTTTCCTAAGTTTTTTATTCAGTGGGTGGCCCAGATTTATGAGGTAGGTCTAGGGTAGGCTCAGTGGAGGAGAAAGATGATTTTGAAGAGAGATGGGTGATTTGTAGGAGGTGAACATTTTCTTTATCTTGGTGGACAAACCATGTACGTGTCAATGTTTCCTTGAATTGCTATACATTTGCTTAGTGCTGGTGATTGAAACTAGAGTCTCATACTTGCTGGGTAAATCCAGTATCATTGAGCTATATCCCTGAACCTTAGGGTGGTTTTTATTTTTTCACATTGTCCTGTGCTTTTAGATTACTCTATAAGCATAGTTTGCTTTCTAATTTAGTTCTTGCTTTTCGATCTCTAGGGAGAAGGCTGAACAAACCATCTGGAATCGTTTGAAACAGCTTAAGGTCCTGAAGACAAAGCGGCCTCGTTCCCGAGGACCTCTAAGGATTGGGATTCTAGGTATCCAGATATTATTGGATTTTGTCACCTTTGAGACTTTAACTTGATGTGACTTTCTATGCCAGTGGTAGACATATAAATGCTGACATCTCACATAAGCAAGTTATTATACACCAGCAGAGTGTTAAGAGTTCATCTTAATTCTAATACTGTCTGACACCTGAAGAGAGCATCAGGTTCTGCAGATTTAAAGAGTCGGTGCCCTTTACTACAGATACCTGTTCTTTACTTCAGATACCAGTCCCGTTTGGTAACCTGGACTTTTGAATTCTGTTTTCAGAGTACAGATGGGATTTTCCCATATATTCTATTCAGACTTAAGGTACCTTTTGGAAGCCCAGATTGTTATCTGTTTTTCTGATTAACGTTAAATCAGGTTTCCAGGACAACCACCTCAGGTTTTATTAATTCTCCAGTACAGCTCACATAATTCAAGAAACTCATTTTCTTAACTAGATCACCAATTTATTACAAAGGTAATGAGTTGATAGCCAGGTGGAAGATATGCAAGGCTTGGAGTTCCTCTAAAGCTTCATATTCATCAAACTGGAAGCTCTGTGATACCTCTCCTCTTGATTTTTTTAAAAAATTTTTTATTAGTGAAACTCGGGTGAGCCATATTGGCCGCTTGTAAGGCAAATGCCCTACTGCTGTGCTATCGCTCCAGCCCCCTCTTGGAGAGCCCGGCAAGCTACTGAGAGTATTTCGCCCGCACGGCAGAGCCTGGCAAGCTCCCCGTGACATATTCGATATGCCAAGCACAGTAACAACAAGTCTCATGATGGAGACATTACTGGGCCCGCTCGAGCAAATCGATGAACAACGGGAGGACCGTGATGACCGTGATGATGATTAGTGAAACACCATGAGGTACAGTTGTAGACTTAACAAATTTTTGTGCTTGGATTTCAATTATACAATGATCAAATACCCATCCCTCCACCAGTGCCCATTTTCCACCACCACGGGTCCCAGTATCCCTCCTACCCCCCATCCCCTCCACCCCCACCCTGTCTCTGTGGCAGGGCATTCCCTTTTGTTCTCTCTCTCCTTTTGGGTGTTGTGGTTTGCAAAAGAGGCATTGAGTGGCAATCATGTTTGGTCTATAGTCTACTTTCAGCATGCTTCTCCTATCCTGGGAGGATCTTCCCAACACCCTTTATTTGGTGCTCCCTTCTCTGTCTGAGCTGCCTTTTCCCCTAGCATATGTGGCTGGCCTCCAAGCCATGGAGCAAAATTCCTGGTACTAATCTCGACCACTCTTGGTTGTTAGTCTTTTATTTTGTTACTTTATATTCCCCAGATGAATGCAATCTTTCTATGTCTATCCCTCTCTTTCTGACTCATTTTGCTTAACATGATACTTTCCATGTAGTACCACTTGTATGTAAATTTCATGACTTCATCTTTTCTAACAGCTGCATAGTACTCTATTGTGTAGTTGTACCAAAGTTTCTTTAACCAGTAATCTGTTCTTGGGCACTCAGGATTTTTCCAGATTCTATTGTAAAGAGTGCTGCAATGAACAAACAAGTGCAGATGTCAATTCGTCTGTACTTTTTTGCCTCTCTTGGATATATTCCCAGAAGTGGTATTGCTGGGTCAAATGGGAGCTCAATTTCTAATTTTTTGAGAATCGTCCATACTGTTTTCCAAAAGGGCTGAACCAGTTTGCATTCCCACCAGCAGTGAAGGAGTGTCCCTTTCTTGCCACATCTGTGCCAACACAGGTTGCTTTTCTCCTCTTGATTTTTATGTAGGATTCAGTGCATTGGCATGACTGATTAGTTCATTGGCCATTGTGGATGCTGTAAACTAAGAACTATGGATGTAGACTAAATTTATGAGAAAATTGTCTTGGTGAATTGAATTATAAAAAATAATGTATACATATATATGTACATATGTCTATATATAAAATATATATTTTCTATGAATCACAGTTATTACAGCCAGTGTATCAAGATATCTTATATGTACCGTCTAACTCTTTTTTTTTTTTTGTTTCTTTTTTTTTTTTTAATTTATTTATTTTTTATTTATTGAATCACCTTGGGAAAGGTTACAAAGCTTTCAGGTTTAGGTCTTAGTCATGCAAATATCAAACACATTTCCCTTTACCAATACTTTTTTTTTTACCATGAAGAACCCCAATGAAACCCCACCCCCCACCCCTCCCAGTCCCTGTGGGGCAGATGAATTCTAGTTAACACTCTATCTGCTTTGATTAGATTCATTGTTTCAATAAAAGATTCACCACTATTATTTAGAGTTTACCCCCCCCCCCCCCCCCCCCAAATCAGACATGCTGAAAAAGCATTGTGACGTGATTTGCTTTCTACAGCTGGGTTCAAGAATTAAATGTTGGTTTTGGATTTCTGCTATTTTACTTATTGACCCTGGAAGTATTTATACTGAAAGTCAGATAGTTAAGAAATTGGTTTCTGTGCTCTGGAGTCGTGGCCATGCTGGAGAGCTGCTAGTGGGGGGCAACTGGTGGCCTCAGTAGGGCGTGAAGGGCGGACCGAAACGCCCCCTTCCCAGGTTTTAGTCGCCCCCACACCCCCGGCTCATACCTGCTGTCCACAAGGCTCCCATGCGGCTGCCATCTTTCTTTCCAGAGAGGAGAAGGCGACTGGGGCAACACCCTTTCCCCTCCGGGCAGACATGATGGCCTGGATTAACGCATAGTCCTTTCACTTTTCTGCTCCAAGCTGCCAGGTTCTGCATTAAGTCCCTGTGCTTCTGGGGCTGTGGCCGTGCTGGAGAGCCGCTCGCGGGGGGCAACTGGAGACCTCGGTAGGGCGTGAAGTACGGACCGGAACGCCCCCCTTCCCATGAGGTTTTAGTCGCCCCCACACCCCCGGCTCATACCTGCTGTCCACAAGGCTCCCATGTGGCCGCCATCCTTCTTTCCAGAGAAGAGAGGGCGAATGGGGCAACACCCTTTCCCCTCTGGCAGACTTGATGGCCTGGATTAACGCATAGTCCGTTCACTTTTCTGCTCCAAGCTGCTGGGTTCTGCATTAAGTCCTTGTGCTTCTGGGGCTGTGGCCGTGCTGGAGAGCCGCTCGTGGGGGGCAACTGGTGGCCTCGGTAGGGTGTGAAGGACGGACCGGAATGCCCCCCTTCCCATGAGGTTTTAGTCGCCCCCGCTCCCCCGGCTTATGCCTGCTGTCTACAAGGCTCCCATGTGGCCGCCATCCTTCCTTCCAGAGAGGAGAGGGCGAATGGGGCAACACCCTTTCCCCTCCAGCAGATTTGATGGCCTGGATTAACGCATAGTCCGTTCACTTTTCTGCTCCAAGCTGTTGGGTTCTGCATTAAATCCTTGTGTTTCTGGGGCTGTGGCCGTGCTGGAGAGCCGCTCGTGGGGGGCAACTGGTGGCCTCGGTAGGGCGTGAAGGACGGACCGGAATGCCCCCCTTCCCATGAGGTTTTAGTCGCCCCCACACCCCCGGCTCATACCTGCTGTCCACAAGGCTCCCATGTGGCCGCCACCTTTCTTTCCAGAGGGAGGAGGGCGGAAGGGACCAACACCCTTTCCCCTCCGGACAGACATGATGGCCTGGATTAACGCATAGTCCTTTCACTTTTCTGCTCCAAGCTGCCGGGTTCTGCATTAAGTCCCTGTGCTTCTGGGGCTGTGGCCGTGCTGGAGAGCCGCTCGCGGGGGGCAACCGGTGACCTCGGTAGGGCGTGAAGGACGGACCGGAACGCCCCCCTTCCCATGATGTTTTAGTCGCCCCCACACCCCCGGCTCATACCTGCTGTCCACAAGGCTCCCATGCGGCCGCCATCCTTCTTTCCAGAGAAGAGAGGGCGAATGGGGCAACACCCTTTCCCCTCTAACTCTTGTACTTAATGTTGGAGGCTATAGGATTTAATGAGCGACAACTTACAAAGGGGCTTTTCATGGTGCCTTGAATACAGATACTAGAAAAGGTCTGTCTGGTGGGCCTGAGAAATAGCACAGTGAGTAGGGTGCTTGGCTTGCATGTGGTGATCTGGGTTCCATCCCCGCATCCCTTGTGCCAGGTAACCCCTAAGAACCACTGTGTGTGGCCCCAAAACAAAACAAACACCCCCCCACCAGAAAAAAAAAGACTATCTGTTATGGAATAGTTAAATTAATTTCTCTTGATGATGGTCAGAACATAGTTGGAGCATATCTCATATTCAGATTAATGTGCTAAGTAGGCATAGGATGATGGGAAGTTAACTAAAATGTTTTGCAGATTTCTTTCTCCCAATATCGAGAGAACTAAGTATATGTTAGGAATATATTTGTTGCTGAGTATATGTTAGGAATTTCAAAAATCTCCCAAATAGGTATTGAAGTAACATAGGTATCATAAAATGTACTTATTTTGGTCCACATCCAGCTGTGCTCAGGGCTTTCTCCTGGCTCTGGTTCACAGGGATCACTTCTTGTGGGGCCTCGGTGACTATGGAGTGCCAAGGCAACTATGCATCATACTACACTCTTTAAAATTTATTGGCAAATTTTATTTAAAAAATGCTCCTGTCCAGCAGATGGCTCAAAGGGCTGGAGTGCATGCTTTGCATGTGTGAGCCCTAGTTTTGATGTCTGGCACTGTATGATGTTCTGAGCACCAGGCATTGTACATCCACAAAAAAATTTCATTCTTTTTTTTTTCCTTTGCACGAAGCCTGGGTATGTTGCATGCAAGGCAAACGCCTTACCCGCTGTGCTATTGCTCCAGCCCACAAAAAAATTTCTTGACAAAATACTTGTTACTTGTATTACCAAGTAATTTTCAATAAATAGAAGATGTGGGTCACAACTAGAAAGGTATTTAGGGGATACTTAACTTTTTTTCTGGGTATTTAATTTTTGTTGAACTCTTTTCCTGAGGGCTGGAGCAGTAGCACAGCAGGTAGGGCATTTGCCTTGCGCGTGGCTGACCCGGGTTCGATTCCCAGCATCCCATATGGTCCCCCGAGCACTGCCAGGAGTAATTTCTGAGTGAAGAGCCAGGAGTAACCCCTGTGCATTGCCGGGTGTGACCCAAAAAGCAAAGAAAAAAAAAACTCTTTTCCTACTGATTCTCAAATAGGAAAATGTAGGTTCCAGCACTGGAAGTTTTGGAAAAATGGGGGAAGATGCTAAAATTTTAGAGAAATTTCTGTTCCCTGCAATTATCTCTGACTGGAGATAATGTGTACAGAGAGAAGCCATGAAACTTCAGGAGTTTTGGAACAGATACTGACTTCTTACCTCCCCCCTCAGGCTGCATGGCTGAGAGACTGAAGGAGGAGCTCCTCAACAGAGAGAAAATGGTAGATATTTTGGCTGGTCCAGATGCCTACCGTGACCTTCCTCGCTTATTGGCTGTTGCTGAGTCAGGCCAGCAAGCTGCCAATGTTCTGCTCTCTCTGGATGAAACCTATGCTGATGTCATGCCAGTTCAGACGAGCCCCAGTGCTACTTCTGCCTTTGTGTGAGTGAGTGAACCTTTTCACTTTTAAAATGACATGCTCTTTTTTTTTTTTTTCCTTTTTAGTCACACCCGGTGATGCACAGGGGTTACTCCTGGCTCATGCACTCAGGAATTACTCCTGGCAGTGCTCAGGGTACCATGTGGGATGCTGGGAATCGAACCTGGGTTGGCTGCGTGCAAGGCAAACGCCCTACCCCCTGCTGTGCTATTGCTCCAGCCCCTGACATGTTCTTTTTATTAAAAAGCAAAACAAAAACTTAGGGGGCTAGAGATATAGTTTAGCAGATCTGCAAAAACAAAAAAGCTGTATGCAGTTTCCTCACATCTGTCATACTCATTTTTCTAGGCCACCTCTTACAGGTAGTCATACTGGTAGTTTCCTGTATCACTCTTTCACAAGGATTCTTTTCATATGCTTTCATGTAATATGGGATTTTTTTCTGCTGTTCCTCTTATACTTAAATTAATCACCATGAATTACAAAGCTATAAAGTTATTCATGATTTGGTTTCAGGTATGTAATGTTCCAAAACCAATTCCTTCATTATTGTTCACTTCCTTCCACCAATGTCCTCAGTTTCCCTCCTGCCCTTCTTCCTTTTTTTTCATTTTTTCCTTTTTCTTTTTTCCTTTTAGGACCCGTGACTTACAGTACTGTTAGTGCTAGGGTATCCTGCATATCACTTCACCTTTCAGCACCCGGTTCTTGTCCAGAGTCACCACGACCTTCTATCATTGTCTTAGTTGTCCCTTCCCTGACCTTTTCTCTATTCCTTGACATTGGCAAGATTTCTGCTAAGGGCCAGTTCTCCTGCACTTCATTTCTGTTATTTTTGGGCATTAGTTATTTCCCCACTAAGTTTCTTTTGTATCCCACATAGGAGTAAGATTATTCTGTCTGTCCTTTTCCCTCTGACTCATTTCATTCAGTATGGCACTTTCTAGATCCATCCACTGAGCAGATAACTGTATGATTTCGTCTTTACTTATGGCTGAAGACTATTTTTTCACTTGAAATACTTTAGGCTTTTCTGACCCTAATTCCCCCTTCCCTGTTTTTTAAGTTAAAATTTTGATAATAGTTTTTCCTATTTGTTGAAAAATATGTGGAAAAGAAAAAAAATTGTATTTCTACCACCTAATGTTAAATGCCATTATTATTGTTTATAATTTCTATGTTTTCCTTTGTATTTATGTGTCTGTGTTTATAAAAATATGCATTGGATTTTTGGACCATACCTAGCACTTCTTTGAGTCTGTTTTCTGCTCGGTGCTTCGGTCATTTCTAGCAGTGCTTGGGGGATCATTTGGTGCTCTGGGTATTAAACTTGGGGCTCCTGCATGCAAAGTTTAGTCCATCCAACTGTATCTCCGCAGTCCCCATAACCTATCATTAAATTTTTGTTTTTATTTGAACACTTTATAATAAGTTTATAATACTTTTAATGATAGGGTTTCATGTATAACACAGCCCTCCACCAAACCTTCTGCCAGTAATAACCTCCTCTTTTTTTTTTTTTTTTGGTCACATCCAGTGATGCTCAGATGTTATTCCTAGTTCTGCACTCAGGAATTACACCTGGAATTGCCTGGGGGACCACATAAGGGATATTGAGGATTGAACCTGGGTTGGCCGCATGCAAGGCAAGCACCCTACCCACTGTACTATCACTCTGGCTCGTCTATTCTTATTTAAAAGGATGAGCAGTAAAGCCCCAAGCACTAGGAATTCCAGGAAGTTTATGTCTATGCCCCAATATTTTACCACTGTTGTCCCTCATAGTTATCATTATAAGCACCAATTATAATTTGATTTATATGCTGTGATTAGATATTAGGGTTTTTTGTTTATTTTGGAGTGTGGAGGGGGATACACTTGGCATTGCTCAGGGACTGGCTTTGTTCTTGGGTCGCTCCTGCCAGTTCTTGTAGAACCATGCAATTCTAGGGATTGATCCCGGGCCTTCTGCATACAAAACATGAACTGTAGTTTATATCTCTCTGGCCCTAGAGCCTAGGATGAAGTGTTTGTCAGTGCAACATAGATTGTCAGATTAGTCCATTGTGATCCTCTTGCCAAGAGAATTTAGAGCCAGAGAATAATTAAAGTGAAGGAAGCTATGTGTCCAACGACTTGGGTTGAACTGCTTGTAAGTTATATTGTTTTCTTCTCCAGGTCTATCATGCGAGGCTGTAACAACATGTGCAGCTATTGTATTGTTCCTTTCACACGTGGCCGAGAGAGGAGTAGACCTGTTGCTTCCATTCTAGAGGAAGTGAGGAAACTTTCTGAGCAGGTGACAAGTTCTCTAAACTTTCTTCCTGTAAATTCCTTCCATGGGGATTTCTATATATAACTATCTATCTATCTATCTATCTATCTATCTATCTATCTATAAAATCATATATATAAATGATTTCTACAAGGGGCTGGGCAGGTAACTCAAAGGGCTGGAGCATATGCTTTATGTGTGGGACCTCTGGGTTTTATCCTTGACACCATATGATGCTCCAAGTACTGCTGGGTCTGATCTCCGATATTCCTTGGGTATGGTCAAAATAAACCAAAAAAAAAAAAAATGCACCCTTGCTGAGTTTTTGGAATGATACAACTTTTTAATTGTCCAAGAACACATTTGGTTGTAGAGATTACATGCTTTTTGTTGTACCCCCAGTATCCTGAACAGCAGTGCCACTTACTGCTAGGATCATGCCAGTGCGGTTGTCTTTCATCTGGGGGCCATATTTCAAGGAGGTCACAGGTGAATATTGTGGAAATGGGGACCCTAGCATGAGACAAGTTACCAATTGGTGGGGTCACAGGAAGGAAAGAAGGCTAGAAGGGGGGGTCACAGGAAGAAAACAAGGCTAGAAGGGGGCCATGATTGGAAAATGGTTGAGAAACATTGCTAGTGCAAATGGGGTGGTAGCACTGTAGCACTGTCCTCCCATTGTTCATCGATTTGCTCAAGCCGGCACCAGTAACATCTCCATTATGAGACTTATTGTTACTGTTTTTGGCATATCGAATACACCACGGGGAGCTTGCCAGGCAGGTGGGTTACTCTTGGTAGCTTGCCAGGCTCTCTGAGAGGGACGGAGGAATCGAACCCGGGTCAGCCGCATGCAAGGCAAACGCCCTACCTGCTGTGCTATCACTCCAGCCCAATGGGGTGGTACCAAGGATCAAATTCACTCTTGCAAGGCAAGTGCTTTGCCTCTGAGTTATCCTGGTATCCTAATTTTTTTTGTTTTTATTTTTATTTCTGTTTTTTTTCGTTTTTTGCTTTGGGGCCACATCTAGTGGTGTTGGGATGGGGGCGTGTAGTGAGGGGGAGGGTGTGTTGAGCATGGGTGATCCAACTACGGCTCCAAAAGGGCAAGCTTTCAGCCCTTTGAGCTCTCTCCCTGATAATGTTTCTGACATTTGGTTTGGTGTCTTTTTTACATGCATGGGTGTGAATAATACTTCGTTTTGTATCTTTTTTTTTTTTTAAGCTACATCTGGCTCTGCACTCAGGAAATACTCCTGGCAGTACATGGTGGACCATATGGAATGCTTGGGATTGAACCTGGGTCGGCCTTGTGTAAGGGACGCTGTACTGTCCTGCTGTACTGTCCCTAGCAGGGCCTCCCTCCTACCCCCGCCTCTTTAAAAATAGTACGTTCTTTTTAAAACTGAGTTTAAAGAAGAGTTGCACAGGGGACTGGAGCCATAGCACAGAGGGTAGGGCGTTTGCCTTGACCCGGGTTCGATTTCCAGCATCCTGTATGGTCCCCTGAGCATCGCCAGGAGTAATTCCTGAGTGCAGAGCAAAAATAAATAAATAAATAAATAAAAATAAAGAAGAGTTGCCAATGTCATGGATGTCTCCCTTCTTGAACAGTAGTACGGTCCTGCTGGTTTTCCATTGGGACGGAACCTTGCATTCAGACAGGTAGCGAGTGAAGAGCCAGGCCAGTGTATTGATGAGTACTGATGGCAGGTTCTTCAGGTGTTCAGGTCTGACCTTGTCTGGGCCGGGTGCTGTTTGTTTCTTTACTGACGAAATGGCGTGTCGGATTTTGGAAGGGAGAACGTTGGGAACGACATATCCATCCTGTGGAATTTGGTATGTCGGCAAGTGGACATGGCTGTCGAAGAGATTTGAGTAGAAGTCATGGATAATCTTCTCCATTGCCGTTCTGGAGGATGTGATGGATCCATCAGGACGTCGGAGGGCAGTCATCTTGGTCTTGTAGTTGGCGAAGGACAGGCGGGCGTAACGAATACTTTTCCCGGCTTCTGCCGCATCTACCAGTACTTCTGCTCTTCTCTCTTTGAGGTCTTCCTTGATCGCATCTCTGCACTGCTTTGCGAGCTCGGACGTTAGCTTGCGGTTGCCTGAGGCATGCGCCAAACCATGCTGGCGAATTAGCTCAAGAGTTTTTGAAGACAGGCGTTTTTTTGTGACTATCTCTCTCTTGGCGTTCCTCGCACAATCATGGAGGTGCTGAACCAGTCGATCGTATTCCTTGTCAATGTTGTCAACAATGGTATCTTCCCATGTTGCCACGATAGTGCCAAAGAGTTCCCAGTTGGTTGTCGTTCTGGGAGTTCTCTTTTTGAACTTTGCAGCCCTTTCTCCCCGCTCTGTGAAGTAGAATTTTGCACGAAGGAGACGGTGGTCTGATCCCGTTCGAAATTTTGGGACAACAGCGACATCGGTCAGGCAAAACCGTCCATTGAATATGATGTGGTCTATTTCATTGTGGAATTGTCCACCGGGAGACTCCCATGTCCAACGTTTAGATTCTGCCTTCTGCAACTGTGAGTTACCTTGGATGGTCTTGGTCGACATGATGAACTCAGACAGTCTCTCACCCTGTTCGTTCCATTCTAGGCCATGGGTCCCGATGTGAAGTTCTTCAGCTGATCTTCTTGGTCCTATCTTGGCATTAAAATCACCCATGATGATCTTGTAGAAGGTGTGGTCTTCTTTATAGAACTTCTCCAGCTCCATGTAGAACTTCTCGATTTCTCTTTCATCATAATGAGATGTTGGTGCGTAGACAACGAAGATAGAAACTGCAGGCAGTGAGCCACATCTATTCAAATGTAAACGTCCGATTCTGGTTGTTAGGCATTCGAATGAATCAATGCTCTTGGCCAAGTTTGTGTTGACAAGAACACTGATGCCTCCGACACCTCTTTTATCGCATGTTCCGAGGAACAATTCTTCTCCAGTGTCGAAAACGGCATGGTGAGATTCGTGCCTTCTTGTCTCGGTCAGACCAATGATGTCGTACTTGATCATTTGCGCTTGTGCCATCAGGTCCTCGATGGATGTATCTCATGCTAGCGTACGTGCATTGAAAGTACAGACGATCATTTTTGTCTTCCTTCGTTGTGGCAGCCTAGTTTAGCCTTGAGATTTTGACATTGGCAACTATCGCCCGATCTGCCTATTGTCTGTCATCTACAAGTTGTTCACTCGAGTCATCCTGAATAGGATTGGCAGAGCACTAGATGAAGGACAACCATGCGAGCAAGCCGGGTTCTGCAAAGGATTCAGCACCATCGACCATATCCACACAATAACCAAACTCATTGAGGTTTCTCGGGAGTTCAAGATGACGCTCTGCTTAACGTTCATTGATTTAAAGAAGGCCTTTGATTCTGTTGAGACGGAAGCGGTCGTTGAAGCCCTAGCCAATCAGGGCATTCAAGCCCAATACATCAAGATCCTCCATGAGCTGTATTGCGGATTCACTACCAAGATCTCACCATTCTACAAAGAAGTGATCGTTGATGTCAAGAGAGGGGTGCGGCAGGGTGATACCATTTCACCGAAACTCTTCAGTGCCACCCTCGAGAACGTCATGCGACGACTGGAATGGGAAGGAATGGGAGTGAAGATAGATGGTCGGCAACTACACCACCTCTGCTTTGCTGATGACATTGTTTTAATAACACCAAACATCAGCCAAGCGGCACAAATGCTGGCCGACTTTGACCGTGAGTGTGGAAAGGTAGGACTACAGCTGAATCTTACGAAGACAATGTTTATGAGAAACAGCCTCGTTCCTGATGCCCCATTCGCTCTCAATGGAACGACCATCTCCGAATGCAACAGCTATGTGTACCTAGGTCGAGAAGTCATCATGACCAATGACTTAGCACCCGAGCTGCGCAGGAGGAAGAGAGCGGCTTGGGACGCCTTCAAGAACGTCGAAGAAATAGCTAAGAGGACGAAGAACCTCCGGCTCCGGGCACATCTCTTTGATTCCACTGTTCTTCCTGCATTAACATATGCCTCAGAGACCTGGGCCCTACGCAAACAGGATGAGAACGCTATTCAGGTCTCCCAAAGAAGAATAGAAAGAGCTATGCTTGGAATATCACGTTTCACTCAAATGAGAGAAAGAATCCGGAGTTCCGACATCCGTCGACGATCAAGAATCAGGGACGCTGTCTCATTTGCCAAGGTGTCGAAAATCAGATGGGCTGGTCACGTAATGAGATTTAAAGACGACCGCTGGACTAGAGCTGTTACCGACTGGATTACATAGGATGTCAAAAGACCGCGTGGCCGCCCACCTACCAGATGGTTAGACTTCTTCATGAAGATCATGAACGATCAGTTTGAGGCTCTTCATGTTCCCAGAGTGAACAGATGCCATTGGGCATCTAGCACGCGACAGGGACAAATGGAGACGTTACTGGCGCCCGCTCGAGCAAATCGACGACTAACAGGAAGTTAAGTGATTAAGTGATTAAAGAAGAGTTGCACAGAGGTTACTTCTAATTTTCCTATTTTTGTTACTTTTGCCAAAACAAAAGAATAGTACTGAAGTTAAACTAACTGCAGGCTTTATTCCTGTGTTTTGCCAATAAATCAAAGACTTTATAAATTTTTTTATTTACATAACTAGCTTATTTTTTATCTTAATGTTTTACTTTTTATTTTATTTTATTTTTGATTTTTATTAATGAAACACCGTGATTTACAAATTTGTGTGCTTGGGTTTCAATTATACAATGATCAAATACCCTTCCCTCCACCAGTGCCCATTTTCCACCACCACGGATCCCAGTATCCCTCCCACACCCATCCCCTCCATCCCACCCTGCCTCTGTGGCAGGGCATTCCCCCTTGTTCTCTCTCTCATTTTGGGTGTTGCGGTCTGCAAAAGAGGCATTGAGTGGCAGTCATGTTCAGTCCACACTCTACTTTCAACATGCATCTCCCGTCCTGGGAGGATCCTCCAAACACCCTATATTTGGTACTCCCTTCTTTATCTGAGCTGCCCTTTTCCCTAGAATGCCTGGCTTGCCTCTAAGCCATGGAGTAATCCTCCTGGTACTGATCTCGGCTATTCTTGGTTATTAATCTCCTATTTTGTTACTTTATGTCCCCTATAACTAGCTTATTTTAAAGACCGTAGCTTTCAGTTCTGCTGTTAGAACAGGACCATGTAGAAGTATATCTTTATGTAGTTGGTTGACACCGCTGTTCAACCCTGCTTAATTCCCAGGTGAGTATCTCCAAGGACCAGGTGCCAGACGGAGACAAGCTACCAAACATGGTTCTTGTGTTTTGGGGGGCCATACCCAGCTTATTCCTGGCACTGCATTCAGGGATCACTCCTGGTCAGGCACAGGACCATATGAGGTCCCAGGGATCAAACCTGGGTCATTGTGCAAGACAAGTGCCCAACTTGCTATTACTGTCTTTTTGCTCGCCCCTCAAAATGTTTTTTCTTTTTTTTTTCCTTTTTCTTTTTCGGTCACAACCGGCCTTGCACAGGGGTTTCTCCTGACTCTGCACTCAGGAATCACTCCTGGCGGTGCTCAGGGGACCATATGGGATGCTGGGAATCGAACCCGGGTCGGCAGCCTGCAAGGCAAACGCCCTACTCACTGTGCTATTGCTCCAGCCCCTCAAAATGTTTTTAAATGGGTTCCAATATATTTGCTTTCCTTTTTTCAGGGAGTGAAAGAAGTGACACTTCTTGGACAGAATGTTAATAGTTTTCAGGACAATTCAGAGATCCAGTTCAACAATACAGTCTCCACCAACCTCAGCCGTGGTTTCTCCACCAACTATAAAATCAAGCAAGGGGGACTTCGTTTTGCTTACCTTCTGGATCAGGTCTCCAGAGTAGATCCTGAAATGAGGATCCGTTTTACCTCTCCCCACCCTAAGGACTTTCCTGATGAGGTAAGTGTTTGTTTATCTATGCCAAACTGATCCCAGTATCCTTAAGCATACTGAAGGCCTAGATCCAGTAGGCCACAGCAGTAACCTTGACTTCTGCTCAGTATGTCATGGTGTAGTGCTAAATCACCTTCTCAATGTTTTAGAACTTTTTAGACCTATGGAAAAGATTGAAAGTCCAGAAGGTGGCAGCAGAGGACTGATATTAATGTGTGATTTATATCGCCTGAGGCCAGCAGGGCTTTGCTTAGAGGTTTTAGAAGGTGATAGAGGATGGACAGGAAGGGAGGCAGTGTGATGCAATGGGAAGTCCAGACTCTGGCTTCAGGCAGAAGTTTATTTTAGTTCTTGTTAGTTTTTGGGACACACACAAATAAGCTGTACGTAGGGTTTATTCCTGACTCTGCACAGGGATCACTTCTGGAGGTGCTCAGGGGACCATATGGGGTACCAGGGATTGAACCCAGGTTGGCTGCATGTAAGGCAAGTGCGCTACCCACGGCACTATCACTCCGGCCCCATAAGTTTAAAATTTTAGTTGTTCTGCTTTACCCATAGGTATGACTTTTTAATCTTTCATCTTCATCTGTAAATGGGATTAATGATCACTTCTTGGGTTGTTTCAAAAGAGGACTAACACGCAGAAGGTACACAGTAACTTGCCTGACATGAAGTGTGCAGCCTACTTAGGAAACTTTTTAGTTTGGGTGACCTTTTAAATTTTGTCTCTAGCCATGTCTTTCCCCTTCTGGGTTGTCATCAAGTTGTAAAAATTCTCTATATATACTTAGTTATTATTGTTGTGTATAGCATATTTAGAGGTGCTTAGGCAGGTTTTGACTGACAGGAGCTTTGGGGACACTTCTGTCAGTGCTGGGTGATCAGTGGTATGATTGAACTCAGGGTATCAAATATATGCAAAGCTTGCCTCATATGGGGCCAGAGAAACAGTGGTAGAATATTTGCCTTGCATGTGGCCAATTAGGGTTCAATCTCTGGCATTCCATATGGTGCCCTGAGCACCATATAAGGAACCCCTGGGTGCCACTGAATATGGACCCCCAAACCAAGGACACTCCCACCCCCATTCCAAGCCGCAGCCTGGCTTCCACCCACTCTACTCCTTGGTTCAGTTTATGTTTTCTTTTTCTCTCATGCTGGGTATTGAACTCACGTCTTCGCTCATGCTAGGTGATGTGCTTTTGTATTTAGCTACATTCCTAGCTAGTCTAATTCTAGTTTCTTATCTTTACAAACTCATTAGCTTATATGTTAGGTGAAACAAATGTCATTTCTGCTATTTGTGTCAGCACTAACTCTAAATAGCACCATGGCTTAAATCTGATCTCTGCTTGCTTTATTCTTTGAAAGTTGAGATACTCTCAGGTGAAATGCTTGGGACATAATATAGCTTGAGTACAAGTAATTTTCATTTCATTTCATTTCATCATCCTGTTATTCGTCGATTGCCTCGAGCAGGCCCCAGTAACGTCTCTTTCATCCTAGCCCTGAGATTATATTCAAGGCTCTTTAGGAGAATGAGACCCATCATTGTTACTGGTATTTGGCATATTTGGTACGCCACGGGGAGTTTGCCAGACTCTGCCCTGTGGGCAGGCTACATTCAATAGCCTGCAAGTTTGTCCAAAGTAGGAATGAAACAATAAGATGTCATAAAAAAAAGTTCTGACAAGGTGTCGCGCGGCCGCAATTGCGGCCGCGCGGTTCCAGGATCTGGATTTTATAGTCTCTGAGTCTTGGCCGCTGATGGGATTACACGGCGCCAGGGGGCCAGGTGGTGGGTGTGACCCCCGCCTACTGGAATTTGGAGGATCTGGGTGGAAGATGCTCGACTCCAATCTGAGTAGGCTTGGAGGTCTCGGCCCCGGAACCCGCGTGGCTTTGTCCCTCTGCCAGTACCTTCATGTGTGCGGAGAGTGATCTCAGCATGGTGGTGGCTGGTCCTGGAGGTCTTCGGCTGCTGGAGCCCTGGTCGGGGCGGGGAGGAAAGCTCAACCCGCTCCCCTCCAAGGGACCCCGGGAAGGAACACCCAGGCGCGGGGGCAGAAGACTGCACTGTTCTCGTCCGGGATCTGGATTTTATAGTCTTCTGCCCCCGCAGAAGAGCTTTCCTCCCCGCCCCGACCAGGGCTCCGGCAGCCGAAGACCTCCAGGACCAGCCACCACCATGCTGAGACCACTCTCCGCACACATGAAGGTACTGGCAGAGGGACAAAGCCACGCGGGTTCCGGGGCCAAGACCTCCAAGCCTACTCGGATTGGAGTCGAGCATCTTCCACCCAGATCCTCCAAATTCCAGTAGGCGGGGGTCACACCCACCACCTGGCCCCCTGGCGCCGTGTAATCCCATCAGCGGCCAAGACTCAGAGACTATAAAATCCAGACTCAGAGAGTACAAGTAATAGATTTGCTTAATTGTGTTTGGTTTAATGAGCTTCTTAAGTTACTTAAAAATTATTCTTAGTGAAATAACAGCAGCATAGTATTCCTTTGTATTACATTCTTTATGATCTGTATTGTGTTCTGTTTGATCAGGTCCTGCAGCTGATCCATGAGAGAGACAATATCTGTAAACAGATCCATCTGCCGGCCCAGAGTGGAAGCAGTCGTGTATTGGAGGCCATGAGGCGGGGGTCAGACTTCTCAAGGAGGGGGCATCCCCATATTTCTATGTTTCTTTAAAGATCAAACCTTATCTAAGAGCCCAGCATACGAGCACATGTTTTGCATGCAGGAGCCCTGGTTTAAAATCCCTCATAGTCTCCTGAGTACTGCCTAAAAATAGTCCCTGAACTTGGCGAGTTGTGACCCTAAATCAGAACCAGACAGAAAAAATCCAGCATTTCATGTGTCACATTGTAGCTGCTCAAAAAATATTTATCATGGGAATATACGAATATACTCTTGGACATTGGAATGTTTGTTCACCCTGCAAGTATAGACTAAAGGTTGGATCACTGGTTACTGCTTACTTTTTTAGAAGCATGTTTAGTATGGCACACTTTGAGCTTTTAATCCTATACCTTTTAACACTTAAGTATTTTAGGTCTTGGAATTTATACCTCTGGTGGTCACTTAATTTAAGAATGTTTTAGAGAAAAAAACTAAAAGGAGAAGGTGGCAAATGATATTATGGAGTTTTAGTGTTTTGTCTTGTTTTTCACATTGGCAGAGTTTCGCAGTTTATCTTTACATATTTATTCATTTTATTTTATTTTGCTTTTTTTAGTCATCCCTAGTGATGCTCAGGGTTACTCCTGGCTGCACTCAGGAATTACTCCTAGTGGTTCTCGGGGGACCATATGGGATGCCAGAGATTGAATCCTGGTCAGCCGTGTGCAAGGCAAATGCCCTACCTGCTTTACTGTTGCTCCGTCCCCTATCTTTTTTATTAAAAAAAATATGTAAGGTGCCAGAGAGATTAGCAGGTAAGACGCATGTGGCTGACCTGGGTTTGTTCTCCAGCACCACATATGATATGGTCCCTAACATAGAGCCAACCAGGTGTTGTAATAATAATATAATAATTATTAATTATCAATAATATACTACTAATAATAATGTAATAATAATTGAGCTGGGTTGTTTCTCTGTTGGAGGGTATCTTGTGTGGCTGCAGGCTGCTGTGCCTTTAAGCAGGAAGAGGAATCTGCCTGTCCCCATTGTGAGAAGGCTCCAGCATTCTCAGCCCAGTCCAGCCTACTTGGGAATATTTGGTGGTATTATGTTCTTTTGGAGATGTGGCACTGTGCCATATCTCTGCTGCAAGATACAAGAACTAGTTCTTAAATTTATTTTGTATATTATCTTTTTTTTAAAAACTTTTTTATTGAATCATTGTGAGATAGACCCTTCCAAAGCTGTTAATGATTGGATTTCAGTCATACAATATTCCAACACCCCCCACTCCACCTGAATGTGTACTTATTTTGACTGTACCATTAATAATGAGCTTATTGATAATTGTATGATGCTTCATAGCAGTCAGTAACATTTTTCTCTTATGCAAACATCTTGTAATAAACCCTAATATTTAACAAAACAGAAAACAAACCAAAAGCAAAACACAATCTTTATATACTTAAATATATACTATTCTGACTTATGAGGGTGAGAAGCAATTATAAGTGGTAATTCATAGTGTTATCATTTCGTTGTTTGGGCCACACATGGCAGTACTCATGGCTTACTCCTGGCTCTGCACTTATTGATCACTCCTGGTAGATCTTGGGGAGCCGTATGGGATACTGGGGATTGAACCTGGGTCATCTGCTTGCAAGGCAAGCGCTATCGCTCTGACCTACTGTTACCATTTTACAGAATTAATTTAAAGATAATTGGTTCATCTAAGTCTTTTCATTTATTACAGATATTCAAGGGAAGCATACGTGGAATTGATTGATCATATCAGAGACTCGATACCAGGTACATTTTAAAAGTGTTTTCTGCTTAGCACATTAGTCTACAGTGCACGTTTCCAGCCACCAGTGTTCACAGTTTTCCACACACCTTTCACTCAATTTCGTTCCTTTTCCTCCCTATGCCCTGGTTCCAATGGTGATCTAGGTTTTCCCTTACTTTTAGTAGAAGACCTAGGGGGTCTGTAAGTTTACATTTGGTTGAAAGTGTCTACATTTGTTCCATATTTCTCATTATTTTATCTTTTGGGTTATAATCAGTAGTTCTCAGAACTTACTCTTGGCTCTGTCTGCAAAGATCACTTTTTGTGGGAGTGATTTTAATGTTTATAAATACTTATTTTGATGGTGTGCAGTAATGAGTAGTGTCTCTGGACTTCGCATCTGTAAGATTTCACATTCCACATCCACATCTATAAATCCACATTTTGTAAGATACAATCAATAGTTGTCATTGGATTGCTGGTATAGTTTAGCTTCTTAGTATCAGTAGTTAGTAATTCTTATTGCTACTAAATGAATATTATGTTAAACGAATATTATATATTATATATTTATGTTAAATGAATATTATGTGTATGAGGCATTGCAAGGTTTTCTTCTTGGTTTTAAAACAGGACCATTTAAAAAAACGTGAATTTCTAAATGAGTGATTAAATCCAAAATTTGATATAAAAATACCTTCCTATGTAGAATATAATGTAAATCAAAAAACCAATTTGGGCATGTAAATTTTGTAGATTAGTGGATTTATCCCCTTTTGTATTGTAATAATTTTATTTCATTTGCACATGTTTTCAGTGGTCTCAAGAAAGGTCATTTAGCTGTCATTTTTTCCATTTGTAATTCCTAGAACCTAAGATTTTTAAGGTAAGTAGCAGCTTCACCTTGTTGTCTTTTGGGTCATAGGTGTGAGCCTCAGCAGTGATTTCATTGCTGGCTTTTGTGGTGAGATGGAGGAAGACCATCTCCAGACAGTGTCTTTGCTTCGAGAAGTTCAGTATAACACAGGCTTTCTCTTTGCCTACAGCATGAGACAGGTGAGACGCGGGATGGCTGGGGATGAGGACAAGAGCTACTCTGGACTGAGACTGACCTTCCTGACCTGTTTGGGATCAATTGTTAGACAACTGGGAAGAAAAGAAAGTGGAAGTGAGGCAGTCCTTGAGAACGGAAAGGATGCTTCAATTTGTTTATTTTAATTAACTTCTGTATTATTTTATGTAATTAGTAAAATTAATTGTTGCAGATGACTTATATGAAGTGGGGAGAAGAGACGCCATACCCTAGAGAGGGCAGTCTATTGCTTTTCTCTTCGCTCACCCCAGATACCTGGGGTAGAGCCTGGAAAGGTCAGGTCTGATAAAGTGTGCCATGAGTCACCTATAGTGTGAATGCTGCTTCCTACCAGCTCCACTAGACAGTGGTAGACTGCATCTGACTTCAGCTTGATCTTCATAGCTTGGGAATTAATTCCCACCACCTGGTTTCTTGAGGCACCTTAAAACTCAGGTTGCAGCAAGGACTTGCCCTTTGTAGGAAAAGGAAAATCAGTGCTCATCTCTGCCCAAGTTCTTTTCAGATCTGTTACCTGTCCTCACAGAAAAGAATTTCAGGTAGAGATGAATAGTGAAGTAAAACAGTTTTAATTAGAGAATATAAGGAGGGAAGGAGAAAGAGAGTAGCATGTTCAAGAGAAAATGTGGGCTTCCCCAGAGGGGAGAGAATCAAAGATACCCATAAAGTAACAAAAAAAAATTGCACATTCCAAGTTGGGATGCAGGTGACTCCCAGAATGGGGATGTATTCTACTTGCCTTTGTAAAGTTGGTTTTATAGATCCCAAACTGCTTCCACTTGGGGCTTGCTGTGTAGATAAACAGTCTTGCTAGGGCATCATCAAAGGTACGAGCTTTGAACTTTTGGTGGTCTACTTTCATATTCTTATCACAGCCTTCTCTTGCTTTGAAGCTTCTCTCTAGAAAAGGTTTGGTCTTCTCTGGACTAGTGTTGCACTAGTCTTATTGGCTTTAGTTCCTGTGTCCACAAAGCAGTCCAGCCTTCATGATTATTTTTTTGTCTTAATTTTTGTTATCAAACATTTTATTTTTTCAAAATTCTTTTTAGTTATTTTTTTATTGAGCCTTCATGTTTTTTTTACTACTTTAGGACTAGTGACATTATCTTCTTTTAATTATATCATTGTTTTACTACTTCCCGAGAACTCATTACCAGGCCTGTTCCCGCCCCCTTGCCTTCCTCATTATGTCCCAGTCTGTTTGCCTGTTTTAATTAGAACTTTTTGTTTGTTTTTGACGTCTTACTCAGTGGTGCTCAAGGGTTAGTTTTGGCTCTGCACTCGGGAATCACTCCTGGTGGGGTTTGGGATCATGTATGGTACTAGGGATCAAATCTGGGTCTGCCGTGTGCAATACGAGCATTCTGTCTGCTGTACTGTTTCCTCAGCCCTGCCTCTCTCTCTTTTTATAGAAGACACGGGCATATCATAGGTTGAAGGATGATGTTCCAGAAGAGGTCAAATTAAGGCGTTTAGAGGAACTTATTACTGTCTTCCGGGAAGAAGCTACAAAAGCCAACAAGACTGCTGTGGGTTGTACCCAGCTGGTGCTGGTGGAAGGGGTGAGGCTGAGAGAGAGAGAGAGAGAGAGAGAGAGAGAGAGAAAGAGGAGAGAGTGTCACGGAAGGAAGGAGGGAGGGAGGAAGGGGGAGGGAGGGGGAGTTTTAGAACACTCAGAGAGAGAGAGAGAGAAAATGAGAGAGAATGAGAATGTGTGTGTTTTGTTTTATTTATTTTTTTAGTTTAATGAACCACCGTGACATACAGTTACAGACTTACAAATTTTTGTGATTACATTTCAATCAAGTAATGTTCAAGTACCCTTCCCTCCACCAGTGCCCATTCTCCACCACCAGTGTTCCCAGTGTCCCTCCCGCCACCCTCACCCCCTGCCTCTGTGGCAGACACATTCTTTTTTTCTCTCTCTTTTTGGGTGTATGGTTTGCAACATAAGCACTAAGCAGCCATCATGATTGGTCCATAGCCTACTTTCAGCATGCGTCTGCCATACTGAGTGATCCCTCCAACCATCATTTGCTTAGTGACCTCTTCTCCATCCCACTTGCCTTTTCCCCCAACAGAGTGTGTGTGTTTTAGAAAATTAGTATGTCTTCCTGTATTTAGATCTTTTTTTTTTTTTTTAGACATTTCGTCTCCTTCCTTATGTCTTTCCCTGTTGTCATTGTTCTGCTATTTGAGAGCTGCAGATTTGCTTGCTTTGCTCACACACTAGATGTGGTGCTTGCTAGGGTTTACATACCTCTTTGGCTGCTGGAGATTGTACACTTACTGTGCATTTTGGAATCACTTGATTATGTGGGGGTGGACAAGCTGGCAGGCTACCAAATGTAACCTGCCCACACGGCAGAGTGTGGCAAACTCCCCGTGGCGTACCCAATATGCCAAATACCAGTAACAATGATGGGTCTCATTCTCCTAACCCTGAAAGAGCCTTGAATATGGAACTTTTTATAATCTCAGGGCTAGGACGAAGGAGATGTTACTGGCGCCTGCTTGAGGCAATCGATGAACAACAGGATGATTGTGATTGTGATGTGGGGGTGGATCCAGGTATAGAACTTGTGGCCTCATGCCTATAAGGCAAGTGCTCTGCCACTGAGCCAAATCCCAGAGTTTATGGATTTTCAGCATACAGATTCTGTATGTATTTTGTTAGGTTTATAGCTAAGTATTTAACTTTTTTAGCTATTGTAGTTGCTATTGTTTTTTGGGTTTTCTTGTGGTCATTACTACTATGTAGACTGGCAAGCTACCTGTGACGTACTCAATATGCCAAACACAGTGAAAACAAGTTTCAAAATGGAGACTTAACTGAGCCTGCTCAAGCAAATCGATGAACGGGAGGACAGTGACAGTGACAGTATGTTTATATTGTTTCCCAATACTTTGCTGAATTCAGGTACCTCTAGGTTTTTATTTTTTGAGGTTTTCATTGGGTTTCCTATGTAGATTGTCATTTCATCATGTTTTCCTTTCCTCCTGTTGATTTTAAATTCCTTTATTGTTTTTCTGTTAAAGAACTTCTTTTAGATACTCTGGAAGCAGATAATCTATTTTCCTTCATTTTAGAATGACTTTTTTCCTTCATTCTTGAAATAATATTTGTGCTTAGTGGACAGATACTACACTTGATCTTAGCCAAAAGTCCGAGGAAGGCCGGAGTGATAGCACAGCAATAGGGCGTTTGCCTTGCACATGGCCAGCTTGGTTGACCCAGGTTTGATTCCTCTGCCCCTCTCGGAGAGCCTACAAGCTACCGAGAGTATCTTGCCTGCAAGCAAAGCCTGGCAAGCTCCCTGTGGTGTATTTGATAGACCAAACAAGTAACAAGTCTCACAATGGAGACGTTACTGGGCCTGCTCAAGCAAATCGATGAACAACGGGAAGACAGTGCGACAGTGCTACTTAGTGGACGGACTAGGAAAAAACATCTTTGTGGAGATAGTATCATGTGTGTATATCTAGAATAAATTTTATTATCTGTCTTTCGATCACGATCATCCTGTTGTTCGTCAATTGGCTCGAGCAGGCACCAGTAATGTCTCCTTCACCCTAGCCCTGAGATTATAAAAAGTTCCATATTCAAGGCTCTTTCAGGGTTAGGAGAATGAGACCCATCATTGTTACTGGTATTTGGCATATTGGGTACACCACGGGGAGTTTGCCAGACTCTGCTGTGTGGGCTGGTTTCATTTGGTAGCCTGCCAGGTTGTCCAAAGTAAGAATGAGATAATAAGATCGTCTCTCTAATGTGGCCGTGTGCTTCTGGGAGCTGGGTTTTATAGTCTCTGGGTCTTGACCATTGATGGGATTACATGGTGCTGGGGTTCAGTTGGTGGGTGTGACCCATGCCTACTGGAGGGTGGAGGATCTGGGTGGAGGATGCTCAGCCCTGATCCGAGCAGGCTTGGAGATCTCAGCCCCGGGACCTGCATGCCTTTGTTCCTCTGTTGGTACCTTCATGCTTGTGGAGAGTGGTCTCAGCATGGTGGTGGCTGGTTCTGGAGGTCTTTGACTGCCGGAGCTCTGCTGTCTTTAATCCTTTTGAAACCACACTTTTGTAAAAATGAACTGTAACCAGGTTACATTTCCCTCTCTCTCTCTTTCTCTCTCTCTCTCTCTCTCTCTCTCTCTCTCTCTCTTTGTCCATACCCATTGACGCTTAGGGGTTATTCCTGGCTCTACAGCCAGGAATCAATCCTGGCAGAGCTCAGGGGACCATATGGGATGCTGGAGATGGAACTTTGGTTGGCTGCCTGTAAGGCAAATGCCCAATCTGCTGTACTATTGCTCTGGCCCTTTATTTTCAATGATCTTTTATCATGTTCTTTGGTTTCCTTTCATTTTTTTGGGAATGTGTGTGTGTGTTGGGTGGTTTGAGCAATCCCTGGTAGTTCTCTTGGTCCACTCCTGACTCTGTGCTTGGGAATTGCTCCTGGTGATACTTAGGAGACCAGGCCTGTCCAGAAATCATACTGGGGTCAACAAGACAAGTACTTCAACACCTTTTACCTTCTCTCTGCCCAGATTTCTTTTATTTATTTCTGCTAGGATTTTTATGATCTTTCTTTTGCTGTTTTTAGCATTATTTGTTCTTTTTCAAATTCCATTTTTGTAAGATGGTTTATTTGAAGTATTTTGTGTATATTACTATTAAACTTTCCCCATTTTGCATCTTTATTTTATTCCATTGTATTCATAAATTCTGTTTACTCTTTGTTTTAAGGTATTTTTAAATTTCTCCCCCCACCCTTTTTTAGCATGTAATCAGTTACTTTATAGATATTTTAATTGTGCAGTATAAAATTTATCCTTTGAGGGTTGGAGAAATAGCATAATGAGTAAGATACTTGCATTACATGCTGCAGAGCTGGGTTCTCTTCCTGAGCATCACAAATGGTTTCCTAGGTATCAAGACTGATCCCTGAGCATAAAATCTGAGAACCCTAAGAACCAGTGGGTGTGGCTCAGTCTGTTTCTCTTAGCTCTGCTTCTCAGTCCTTTTGTTCTGAGGTTAAGTAACCCTCTATTATTTACCTGTATCTGACTGTCCCATCTCTCCTCTCCAGTTCACCTTCAGGTGATGGATAAAACCTTACATATCTAGAGTGGGGTAGTCTCTGAGCCATATTGTTTTCTGGCAGACATGTGCTTTTGTCCTTCTTATTTGCTTATCATGATGTTTTCTGCTTTTCCCTCCTGCTATTTGCATGTATCTAAATGAAATAGGTCTATTTTCCTTCATTTTAAAATGTCTTTTTTCCCCTTTATTCTTGAATTTGTTTGTACTTAGTGGACTAGGGAAAAGTATTATCAGCAACCTTTTCTTCCTCGTTAAAAAGAACTCTTAAGGTAGTATAGCCAGTAGGGCGTTTGCCTTGCATGGGGCTGACCCAGGTTTAATCCCTGGCATCCCATATGGTCCCCCATGTACTGCCAGGACTAATTCCTAAGCGCAGAGCCAGGACTAACCCCTGAACATCGCTGGGTGTGACCCAAAAAGCTTAAAGAAAAAAAAAAGAAAAACTATGATCTGGGTAGTTTGTCTTGATAGAGTTGGTATCGTTTTCTTCATGCTTGGAAACCTCTAATATTTGTTACATTGTCAGTCTGTGGGTGATAAATAGTCTTAGCTTTTGGTTGTCTGATTTTTTTTTTTTTTTAGTGCTAGGGATTGAACCCAGGGCTTCACACATGAGGTATTTACTTTTCCACTGAACCACATCCCTTGACTTTGCTTGAAAAAATTGGGCCAAAGCTGGTGGTGCTCAGAGCTATGCTCTGTGCTTCAGGTTGCTTCTGTGGCACTTTGGGGACCATGAAAAGTGGGTATCCATTGTGTAGATGTACCAAAGTTTCTTTAACCAGTCATCTGTTCTTGGGCATTCAGGTTTCTTCCAGTTTCTGGCTATTGTAAAGAGGGCTGCAATGAACAAACAAGTGCAGATGTCACTTCGACTATACATTTTTGCCTCTCTGGGATATATTCCCAGGAGTGGTATTGCTGGGTCAAATGGGAGCTCAATTTCTAATTTTTTGAGAATCGTCCATACTGTTTTCCAGAAGGGCTGAACCAGTGGACATTCCCACCAACAGTGAAGGAGTGTCCCTTTCTCGCCACATCCACGCCAGCATCGGTTGCTTTTGTTCTTTTGAATGTGGGCCAGTCTCTGAGGTGTGAGATGGTATCTCATTGTGGTTTTGATCTGCATCTCCCTGATGATTAATGATGTAGAGCATTTTCTCATGTGCTTTTTTGCCATTCGGATTTCTTCTTTGAGAAAGTTTCTGTTCATTTCATTGCCCCATTTTTGGATGGGGTTGGATGTTTTCTTCTTGTGGAGTTTAACCAGTATTTTGTATATCCTGGATATCAACCCCTTGTCAGATGTGTAGCTCTTAGAAAAGATGAAGTCATGAAATTTACATACAAGTGGTACAATATGGAAAGTATCATGCTAAGCGAAATGAGTCAGAAAGAGAGGGATAGACATAGAAAGATTGCATTCATCTGGGGGATATAAAGTAACAAAGTATGAGATTAATACCCAAGAATAGCTGAGATCAGCACCAGGAGGATTACTCCATAACTTAGAGGCCAGCCGGGTATCCTAGAGGAAAGGGCTATTCAGATAGAGAAGGGAGCACCAAATAAAGGATGTTTGGAGGATCCTCCCAGGAGGGGAGATGCATGTCGAAAGTAGACTATGGACTGAACATGTTTGCCACTCAATGCCTCTTTTGCAGACCACAACACCCAAAAGGAGAGAGAGAACACAGGGGATTGCCCTGCCACAGAGACGGGGGGATGGGGGGATGGGGGTGGGAGGGATATTATCCATGGTGGTGGAAAATGGGCACTGGTGGAGGGATGGGTATCTGATCATTGTATAATTGAAACCAAAGCACAAAAAATTGTAAATCTACAACTTTAAAAAAAATAAAATAAAATAAAGGGGAAAAAAAAAAAAAAAAAAAAAAGAAAAGTGGGTATCAAACCTGGGTCTTCTGTTTTGCAAATCTTGCACTCAGCTCAGTCTGTTGAGCTATCTCTCTGACCTGTCGCATACCTTATGAAAATAACACTTTCAGGAGCCAATAAGTTAGCTCAAGTTGGAACAAGTGCTTGCAAGTACTAGGCCCTAATTTATATTCCTGACACCTCATCACCCCCTCTTCCCAGCACATCTTACAGAAGGTAATTCTGTAGTCAAAAACTCATTGTTCATTGATTTGCTCGAGTAGGCTCAGTAACGTCTCCTTTTTGAGACTTGTTGTTACTGTGTTTGGCATATCGAATACATTACGGGTAGCTTGCCAGACTTTGCCGTGCGGGCAAGATACTCTCGGTAGCTTGCCAGGCTCTCCGAGAGGGGCGGAGGAATCAAACTCAGGTCGGACAAGTTGGTCGCGTGCCAGGCGAATGCCCTACCGCTGTGCTATCGCTCCTCATTATGTAAAGAAAATTAAGAAAAACTTGATTGAGTCATTCATTAACATTTATTCAGTGGTTGGAGAGACAGCCCAGTGGGTACGGTGTTTGCCTTGCATGAGGCCAACCTGGGTTCGATTTCCAGCATCCCATATGGTCCCCCAAGCACTGCCAGGAGTAATTCCTGAGTGCAGAGCCAGGAATAGCCCCAGTGCAATGCCGGGTGTGACCCAAAAAGCAAACAAACAAACAAAAATATATATATATGCAGTAAAAGTTCATTGTGGCTCTCCAGTGTACCATGCACTCGCTTATTTTTAATGCAGTAGGAAAAACTTAGTCATCAGTGATTACTTGGTTGAAGAATGCTCAGTGAGTAAGACCTTGGGAGATCTGAGACATAGAATGCCTATTTTCTACCCATTAAACATTGACAAATGAATTCCTCTGTTATTTCTGCAGGTCAGTAAACGTTCTGCCACTGACTTGTGTGGCCGGAATGATGGAAATCTTAAGGTGATCTTCTCTGATGTAGAGATAGAAGATGTCACTAACCCTGGGATCAGGGTCAGAGCTCAGCCTGGGGACTATGTGTTGGTGAAGGTAAGATATCTTTGGGTTTTGGGATTGCACTGGTACATGAGTAATGGATTGGATAACTTGGGGAACTAAAATGTTTTTCTTGGAGAAATTCTTAAGCAAAATAAAAATCTAACACCAAACTTTAGAAGGGCATCTTGAATTTTAAATTTTGAGCTGATATCTCCTCACCTGTCTTCATTTCTCTCTTTCCCTAGAGGGCTATTTTTGGAAATTTGGTGTGGTTGGGATACGTAGTAGCTTGCATTAACTTCTTGATACAGGGAAAGAAGAGTGTTACTTCTTTTTATCAGACACATATCCCAGGTCTTTGATGCTCCAGCATTTCTATGTGTTCCAGGTTTCTGGGATCCCTTTCCTGGATTAGCAAATTTAGTTATTTGCTTTCCTGTTCCACCTCCACTTTGTTTTCTGACTAGCTGAGGATTTTGTGAAAAACAATAAAGTTGGTAGGTGTGTGACAGAAGATAGAAAGGTGATACTATATTAGTTGAGAACTGTTGTTTCTGAGGGACTTAAATCCCACAAGTAAGCTACAATTTAAGGATCTTAAAACAAAGGAGGAGATATGGAACTATGGGTCTCTGTTGCCTCATTTTCTGTTTAGCTCCTTTCTGCTGCTCTCATTTCTTTCCATGTAGATTATTTACTCTGCATCTGCCACCAAACAGGTATTATTACTGGGGAAAGGTACACTGATTCTGCCTTACACAGATTAGTTCAGATAACATTAGAAGACTGAAAATTGACTTAAGTCAGGTATTCTTGTTCTTATGAAAATATAGCTATATGGAAGGTTCAGAATTGGCGTTTGTGTTAGCATAATGATCATCTGGGGTCTTGATTCCTTTAGTCTTTACTGTGCTGTGTCACCTCTAATCTCAAGATTATCTCATGATCCATGATGCTTGTTTCAGCTGCCAAGTCTATATTCCAGCTAGTAAGAAGAAACAAGGAGAGGGAAGGGATGCCTTCTTTCTTACATGACACTTTGCAAAAGTTCCACGTAATATACCATCACACTGAGCTGCAAAGAGGCCAAGAAATCTGGACTTTATTCTGAAGGAGAAAGATGCCCAACTTAAAATTGGGAGTTCTTTTAGTAGGAAATATGGGAGAAATGTTGAGAGACAAGTAAGTTTCTGCCTTGAATGCAGCTATAGAAGGTTCCTGTTTATGACCATAAAACTCACATGTCACACAGCTTGGCCCTGAAGTCCTAGTCTTACTATATTTCTCTCATAATGAGTTTCCCACTCCCTTTCTCCTTAAATCTTCACTGTTCAATCTCCAGAGTCAGTTAATGTTCTTGCCTTATATTTGATAAAGAGATGTATCAAGTACTTCATTGTTTCATCAGTTGTCACAAGCTCACTTACATCTGCTCCCAACATGCTCTTGCTGCATTGGACTGTGTAAGAAGTATCTTTCATTTTTTAAAGTCCTGCTGCCCTTTGCACCTATGTCTTCTGTCCCTTTTCATCCTTTCAAGAGATTTGCAGTGATCTCCTTTCTCTCATATCATAAACTTAATGTGGCCCAAATAGAATAAATTTTTCCTACAGTTTTGCAGTTTTCAAGTTTTTGACTTCTCTTCTCAGTAAATGACACCATTTAGTTGCTTCTGCCAAAGATACAGAAATCATTCTAGATATTTACCTGTATCCACATCAGCAGTCCATCTGTTTCAGTTCTTCTGCATTTTATTTTGTTTTATTATTTTATTTTAATTAATTAATTAATTTTTGCTTTTTGGGTCACACCTGGCGTTGCTCAGGGATTACTCCTGGCTTTGCGCTCAGGAATTACTCCTGGCAGTGCTCAGGGGACCATATGGGATGCTGGGTCGGCCACATGCAAGGCAAATGCCCTACCCGCTGTGCTATCGCTCCTGCCCCTTTTCTGCATTTTAAATCAGTTATTTTATCAAAATATTTGATGCTATTAGTATTTTGCCCACATTTGAAATATACTCTTTGATGAGTTATCACAGTGACTATTATCACCGAAATCAAGTAGAGAAATGTATATATAAATTTAATTTTTAAATGAAAAAATTTTAAAAAACCATAAGGTACAGTTAACAAAGCTTTTGTGATTGGGTTTTAGTCATACAATATTCCAGTACCCATCCCTCCCCCAGTGTACCCAGTGTACATTTCCCACCACCAGTTTTCCCTGTATCCCTTCCCTCACCCCCACCAGACTGCTCTATGTCTCCCCCCACCCCTCCCTGCCACCTGCCTCCATGGCAGGCATTTTTCTTCTTTGTTCTCCTTCTCTCTCCCCCTTTCCCTTTTCCCCTTTCCCTCTTCCCCTCTCCCCCCTCTCCTTCCCCTACTCTCCTTCCCTCCCCTCCCTTCCCTCCTCCCCCCTCCCTTCTCTCCTCGCCTCCACTCCTCTCCCTCCCCTTTCCCTTCCTCTCCCTTTCTTTTTTTTTAATATATATATATATATTTATTATTTTTCGTGAAACACCATGAGGTACAGTTGTAGATTTACAATTTTTTGTGCTTGGGTTTCGATTATACAATGATCAAATACCCATCCTTCCACCAGTGCCCATTTTCCACCACTATGGATAATATCCCTCCCACCCCCATCCCTCCCATCTCACCCTGCCTTTGTGGCAGGGCAATCCCCTGTGTTCTCTCTCTCCTCTTGGGTGCTGTGGTCTGCAAAAGAGGCTTTGAGTGGCAAACATGTTCAGTCCATAGTCTACACTCAACATGCATCTCCCCTCCTGGGAGGATCCTCCAAACACCCTTTATTTGGTGCTCCCTTCTCTATCTGAGCTGCCCTTTCCCCTAGAATGCCTGGCTGGCCTCTAAGCTATGGAGTAATCCTCCTGGTGTTGATCTCAGCTATTCTTGGGTATTAATCTCATATTTTGTTTCTTTATATTCCCCAGATGAATGCGATCTTTCTATGTCTATCCCTCTCTTTCTGACTCATTTCGCTTAGCATGATACTTTCCACGTTGTACCACTTGTATATAAATTTCATGACTTCATCTTTTCTAACAGGTACATAGTACTCCATTGTGTAGATGTACCAAAGTTTCTTTAACCAGTCATCTGTTCTTGGGCACTCAGGTTTCTTCCAGTTTCTGGCTATTGTAAAGAGTGCTGCAATGAACAGACAAGTGCAGATATCACTTCGACTATACATTTTTGCCTCTCTGGGATATATTTTCAGGAGAGGTATTGCTGGGTCAAATGGGAGCTCAATTTCTAATTTTTTTTTTTTTTTATTAGTGAAACACCATGAGGTACAGTTGTAGATTTACAAATTTTTGTGCTTGGATCTAGGTCATACCACGATCAAATACCCATCCCTCCACCCGTGCCCATTTTCCACCACCAGGATAATATCCCTCCCCCCCATCCTCCCATCCCCCCATCCCCCCCTGCCACTGTGGCAGGGCATTCCCTTTTGTTTTCTCTCTCCTCCTGGGTGTTGTGATCAGCCAAAGAGGCATTGAGTGGCGAACATGTTCAGTCCAGTCTACTTTCAACCTGCATCTCCCCTCCTGGGAGGATCCTCCAAACACCCTCCACTTGGTGTTCCCCTTTCTATCTGAATTGTCCTTTCCCCTAGAATACCCAGCTGGCCTCTAAGTTATGGAGTAATTCTCCTGGTGTTGCTCTCAGCTATTCTTGGGTATTAATCTCATATTTTATTATTTTATATCCCCCAGATGAATGCTATCTTTCTATGTCTATCCCTCTCTTTCTGACTCATTTCGCTTAGCATGATACTTTCCATATTGTACCACTTGTATGTAAAGTTCATGACTTCATCTTTTCTAAGAGCCACATAGTACTCCATTGTGTAGATGTACCAAAGTTTCTTTAACCAGTCATCTGTTCTTGGGCACTCAGGTTTCTTCCAGTTTCTGGCTATTGTAAAGAGTGCTGCAATGAACAGACAAGTGCAGATATCACTTCGACTATACATTTTTGCCTCTCTGGGATATATTCCCAGGAGAGGTATTGCTGGGTCAAATGGGAGCTCAATTTCTAATTTTTTGAGAATTGTCCATACTGTTTTCCAGAAAGGCTGAACAAGTCAACATTCCCACCAGCAGTGAAGGAGTGTTTCTTTCTCGCCACATCCGTGCCAGCATCAGTTGCTTTTGTTCTTTTGGATGTGGGCCAGTCTCTGAGGTGTGAGATGGTATCTCATTGTGGTTTTGATCTGCATCTCCCTGATAATTTCCTCTCCCTTTCTTCTTTTGGGCATTATGGTTTGCAGTACAGGTACTGAGAGGCCATCATGTTTGGTCCTTTACCCACTGTCAAGCAAACAGCTCCCGTCCAGAGTAGTCCCTTCCAACCATCATTGTCATATTGGTCCTTTCTTTATCCCAATTTCCCTCTCTCCCTAGCCCTCGAGGCAAGCTCCAACTGTGGACCATTTATTCTGGCCCTTGTTTCTGCTGTCCATGACTGTTTGTCTCATACTATTTTTTTCTTTTTTTTGTAATATCAGACAAATGAATGCAGTCATTCTGTGTCTGTCCTTCTTCTGACTTACTTCACTCAGCATGATATTCTCCATGTCCATCTATTTATGAGCTAATTTCTGGAGAAATATTTTTCGCACCCCAGAACACCCTCATGTGCCCTTCTCTGCACCCTGATTTCTAAGACCGTGGTTCAGTTTTGTCTGTTTTTTTTTCTTTTTGCGTCACATCTGGCGATGCACAGGGGTCACTCCTGGCTTTGCACTCAGGAATAACTCCTAGCGGTGTTCAGGCGACCATATGGGATGCTGGGAAACGAGCCCAGGGTCAGCCTCATGCTAGGCAAATGCCTTACCCACTGTACTATCACTTCAGCCCCAGTTTTGTCTGTTTTTGATTGCTGTATAATTGAATCATACAGGGTCTGGGAAATACTTCAAAGGACTGGAGTGCATACTTTGCATATGGGAGGTCTGGGAATGGACCACTGAGCACTTTTAGTAGAAGTAACACTTGATTGCCACCAAATAATAACAGAAAACAGCAAACAAAACATTGAGAGGCTGGAGAAATAGTACAGTGAGCTGGGCACATGCCTTGCATGTGACTGACTAGGTTCAATCGATGGCATCTCCTGTGTGTCTATGAATTCTGCCAACAGTGATCCCTGATTGCAAAGCCAGGAGTAAGCCCTGAGTTCTGCTGGGTGTAGTCCCCAAACAAAACAAAACATAACTATATGGGATAATATATATATTTATGCTATTTATTTCCCTCTGCTTTAGTTATATAGTTTATCCATTGCTTCATGAATGTTTTATACTATAAAAGTGTATTAAATTTATTTATGCATTGTACTGTTTATGGTTGTTTTGATTGTTTTCTGTTGGAGCCAGCACAAATAGAAGTTGCAAGATTATTCCTGTGCATTTACTTTAGTACATGCATAATTGATTTCTTTTGGATATATGGCTTGGAGTTGTTGGGTCATTGTTTGTGTATAAGAAATAGTCAAAGTTGAGATTTCCTTCATCACTGCTTAGGATTCCCAAGTCATCCAATATTCTGTTTCCATTTTTGCCCTTTTACAGTCTGTCTGTCCAAAGGCAGTCAGTGTGCTCTTTCTAAATCAGATCACCTTTGTTTACAACCTGTAGTGACCTCTCACTGGAGCCAGCATGAAATGCAGAGTATCCTAGGCCTTGTATGTTCAGTCCCAGCTACCTTTTTCAACCTAAATGTCCCCTCCAATTTTCTTTTTCTCTCTCCTCCACTCTTGGTGGCTTCTCTTTTGCCCTTCAGCTGGTTCTAGTGTTAGGGCTTTAAACATGGCTTGTTGCTTAGGAGGCTCTTAATTTTTGGCTGGCTGCTTTTTTGGCCTTTGTTCTTTCTAAATTTGTCTTCTCAGAGAGGTCTTTTCTATCCACTGTCATGCTTATATAGCTAGCTTTCCTCTACCTGATTCTTGTCAGGATATACTCGTTAGCCCATTTTACCTCTTAGCAGTTTTCTGTGCCTGAAATCATGTTTGTTTATATATTTGTTATGTTATTCCTTCTCCTGAAAGCTCTTTTTGTAAGGACAGGGAAGATATCGACTCTACTGTGAATTACAAAGATATAAAGTTATTAATGATTGAGATCCAGGGTACAATGTTGGAGAACCAATCCCTTCACCAGTGTCCGCTTTCCTCCACCAGTGTCCCCAGTTTTCCTCCCCCTTGCCTGCCTCTCTGGCAGACATTTTTTAAATCTTTTTATATATCTTCTTCTGATTTATTTTTTTAAAATTTTTTTCCAGATCACTTCTGCCAGCTCTCAGACACTTAAAGGACACGTTCTTTGTAGGACCACTCTGAAAGACTCCTCAGCATATTGCTGACCTCAGTGATTGTTCTCTAAGTTGACAACAGCATTTCTTCCTAACAGGAAGGGAAAGTGAGTGGTCACTAATGAAGCTTTGTATACAGGTGTCAGTGGTGATGCAAAGTAATGTGAAATGGAAATCGTATTATTTATTCTATAAGAACAGCCTTTATAATTATTAAATTTACTTGAACTAAAGTCGTCTCTTTGTTTTCTACTTTTACTTCACTTTTGCCTTGGTTTGTAGTATACCTGAATTTTTTTTTTTACTGTCTTTATAATTTTTACCCCCTCCCCACAACTACTGAATAGTTAAACTAGGGAGAAGAATCAATAAGGAAATGTTGGCTTTAAAGGAAGAAATGGAAGAGATTGGACATAATAGACTGGTATGGACTTTCCATTCAATAAAGCTGAATATATTCTTCTCTGATACACATGGGATATTCTCCAAGATAGATCGCATGTTGGGACACAAAACAGGTCTCCATAAAATGAAGAAGATGAAAATCATCCAACTTTTTTCAGATCATAATGCTTTGAATGTAAAAGTTACCCACAAACAGAGGGGTAAGACTCAAATAGTGGAAACTAAACAACCTGCACTTGAACAGCCAGTGAGTGAAAGAGAAAAATCAGATTCCTGGAAAGCAACAAGACACTAGGTACCAGAACTTATGGGACACAGCAAAAGCTATTCTAAGGGAAGTTCATAGCAATGTAAATGCTCATCAGGAAAGAAGAAGGCCTCCCAAAATAACCTAAGTACATATGTTAATTTGCTAGAAAAAGATCAACACAGAGGGCCTAAGGTAAATAGAATGAGAGAAATAATAAAATTCAGAGTGGAAATAGAGACAACAAAAACAAAAATATAAAAGATAACCAAGAGCTGTTTTTCAAAAGAATTAAGACCAGCAAAGTTTTGGCTAGACTCAAAGAGTGAAAACTCATAAATTGGCGGGGCTGGAGGATTAGCATAGAAGATAGGGTTCTTGCTTTGTGCATGGCCAAATTGGTTTGATTCATGGCATCACAAATGGGCCTGAGCAAAAAACCAGGAGTAAGCCCTGAGCACCACCCTGTGTGACCCCCAAAAAACCAAAACAAACTCAAAAATCAGGTCAGAAACAAAAGGTGAAAGATTACAACAGATACTGCAGAAACTCAAAAGATGATTCAAAAATAATGTGAAAATCTTTATGCTATGAATTTGAAAAACCTAGCAGAAATTCTTGGATGCTTGTGACCTCTTAAGATTTAAATCAGAAGGACACCAAACATCTGAACAGACCAGTTACTAATACGGAAGTCAAAGCAGTAGTTGGAACTCTTCCCCAGAACAAGAGCCTGGGCCCAGGTGGACTTACTAGGAGATCTTTGAAATCTTTAAAAAAGAACTCCTTCCTCTTCAGGCTTTTCCAGAAATTCTTGATACAGGAATTTCAGTTCTTGGTGAAGAAAGAAGAAATCTCCTGAAGCTTCTATGAACTTCTATGAAGCTTCTATGAACCCTGATACCAATAGAGACATCACTAGAATAGAAAACCACAGACCAATATCCCTGATGAACATAGATGCAAAAATCTTTATATGATCATGTCAGTAGATGCAGAGAAAGCATTCAACAAGATCCAAAACTCATTTATGATAATCACAGATAAATAATGTTGGGAAAACTGATTATCTACAGCAAAACAGTATATCTAAGTCTATATCTCATGCCATACACAAAAACTAATTCAAGATAAATTCGACCTTGATAATTAGATACGCTAATCTATAAAATATAGTGAATAAAAGATAGACCTCTACCTGATACCTGGAGACATCTTCAATGATGTAATTAGGCAAGAAAACAAGTAAAAGCAAACAGGTGGGACTGCATCAAATTAAAAAGCATCAAATTCTGGACTGTGAGAGAAAAGATGATTAGGATAAAAAGACATCTTGCTGACTTAGACAAAATATTTGCTTACCTTACATCTAAGAAAAGGCTCATATCGAAAGTTTCTAAAGCACTCACAAAACTTGACAAAAAAATCAGGACCCCAGAAAAGAGCAGAAGATGGAAAAGAGACAGTCAGTGAACAGATGTCAAGGGACGATCAGGATGAAGCCAAGAATAACATAAGAATTATTGGAATTCCAGAGAAAACCCTGACGAAGAAAAAACTGTCAAAGACATCATTGCTATAGTTCTTCAGTTCTCAGAGCTGAAGAACACATGTGACCACATTCAGGAGACCTGGAGGATACCAGCTAAGGGAAATCCAAATAAAAATACCCCAAGTCACATCCTGATCAAAATGGCTAAAATCTTGGAGACAAAATTCTGAAAGCAGCAAGATCAAAGAAAGAAATTGTCTATACAGGAGCATCCTAAAGATTGACAACCAACTTACCTGATGGAACCCTCAGGGCCTGAACAGTTATGGGATATAGTGAAAAAAATCAACGAAATAAATGCCTCACCAAAACAACCCAGCTAGACACTCATTCATATCAGAAGGAACAAACAGTTTCACAGACTAACAGCTCAGGAACGTTATAGACTCAAAACCATGGTTACAAGAACAACTAAATGGGCTACTTTAAGACAAGATAAGCCCCTCAAATACATCAAACTTTGGCAGAAAGATGAGACAAAACTCCATAACAGTCCCTCAACGTCAATGTGCTAAATGCACCAATTAAAAGTGGCAGGGTGGCTCTTCCGTGAGTGGCCGTCGGAGGTCCTGAGATGGTGTGCGACTCGCTGGACCCCGAGAACCCAACGAAATCATGCAAGTCCCGGGGCTCGAACCTTCGCGTGTATTTCAAGAACACCCGGGAAACGGCTCAGGCCATCAAGGGCATGCATATCAGAAAGGCCACTAAGTACTTGAAAGATGTCACTCTGCAGAAGCATTGTGTGCTCTTCCAGTGTTACAATGGTGGCGTTGGCAGGTGTGCCCAGGCCAAACAGTGGGGCTGGACACAGGGTCGTTGGCCCAAAAAGAGTGTTGAGTTTTTACTGCACATGCTTAAAAATGCAGAAAGTAATGCTGAACTCAAGGGTTTAGATGTGGATTCTCTGGTCATTGAACATATCCAGGTGAACAAAGCACCCAAGATGCACCGCAGAACTTACAGGTCTCATGGGTGAATTAACCCCTATATGAGCTCTCCCTGCCACATTGAGATGATTCTTACCAAAAAAGAACAGATTGTTCCTAAACCTGGAGAGGAAGTTGCACAAAAGAAAAAGATACCATAGAAGAAACTGAAGAAGCAAAAACTTATGGCCCGGGAATAAGCTCAACATAAAATAAAAATCTAAGTAAACTGAAAAAATAAGTGGCAGGGTGGATCAGAAAATTGAACCCAACATTCTGCTGTCTGCAAGAAACACATCTAAACAGTCAGCAAACAGACTCAAAGTCAAAGGATGGAAAACAATCCTGCAAGCAAACAGCTCCCTCAAAAAAGCTGGGGTGGCCATACTAGTATCCGACAGCATTAATTTCAGACTGAAGGTGGTCACAAGAGACAGTGAAGGTCATTTCTTATTGACCAAGGAATCTTTACAGCAGAAAGAACTTACGCCTCTAAATGTATATGCACCTAATGAGGGACCAGCAAAGTACTTAAAGCAATTACTCAAAGACTTGAAGATAGACATCAATAGCAGCACAATACTAGGGAGATTTTAATACTGTTTTATCACCTCTCGATAGATCAACCAGACTCAAGCTTAGCAAGGAGATAGTTTATCTGAGGGAAGAAAAGGAAGAAAGAGGCTTAGTAGATATATACAGGACACTTTATCCTCAAAAAGTTGAATACACATTCTCAAGTGTGCATGGGACATTCTCCAAGATAGACCACATGCTTAGCCACAAAACATCACGGTCATGGTCCTCCCATTGTTCATCGATTTGCTCGAGTGGGCCTAGTAACATTGTGAGACTTGTTTCTGTGTTTGGCATATCGAATATGTCACGGGTAGCTTGCCAGGCTTTGCCGTGCGGATGAGAGACTCTCAGTAGCTTGCTGGGCTTTCCAAGAGGGGCGGAGGAATCGAACTCGGTTCGGCCATTGCAAGGCAAATGCCCTACCTGCTGTACTATCGCTCCAGCCCAGCCACAAAACATGCCTTCATAAAATTAAGAAGATAGGGATTGTATCAATGCTCTCAGACCATGATGTGCTGAAAATAGAAGTAAATCACATATACAAACACCTGGAAATTAAACAGCTCACTACTGAACGAGTGGCTTAGAAAGGAAATCAAAGAGGAAATTAAAAGATTCCTGGAGACGAATGAAAATAAGGACATGAGTTACCAAAATTTATGGGACATGGCAAAAGCTGTGTTAAGAGGTAAGCTTATAGTTCTACAAGTATTCCTCAGGAAGGTAGAGTGAGCCCACATAAGTAACCTAACCACAGCTTAAGAGATTGGAGAATGACCATGAAAAGGAGCTCAACCTGGGCAGGAGGAAGAAAATAATTAAATTCAGCAGAAATTAATGAGATGGAAACCCAAAAAACTGAAAGATCAATGAAATCAAGAGCTGGTTCTTTGAGAAACAAGATCGATAAACCTCTAGCAAGACTCACAAAAGGAGAGAGAAAACCCTTATAAACCAAATTAGAAATGAAAAGGAAACTACGGGAATTCAAAGGATCCTCGAGATTACTTTGAGAAGTTTTATGCCACGAAACAAGAAAAACCTCGAGAAAATGGATAAAGTCCTGGATTCCTATAGCCTCCCGAGGCTGAACCAAGAAGACCTGGAATACCTGAACACACCTATCACCATCAAGGAAATTGAAACGGTAATAAAAATTCTCCCCAAAAACAAAAGTCCTGGCCCAGATGGATTCACTAGTGAAATCTTTCAAGTCTTTAAAGAGGACTTATTCCCAATCCTCTAAGCTTTTCCAGAAAATTGAAGTATCAGAAACACTTCCAAACAGTTTCTATGAAGCACATAATCATCCTTATACCAAAAGCAGAGCAAGATATCACAAAGAATTACAGGCCGATATCCCTGATGAACACAGACACAAAGATTCTCAACAAAATCCTAGCAAACAGAATCCTACGACTCATCAAAAATATCATATACACCATGACCAAGTAGGAGTCATCTTGGGGATGCAAGGATGGTTTAACATTCGAAGTCAATCAACATAATTCATCA